CGTCCCCCTACCCCGAAGGCAGCAGCTACTCAGCTGTTCCTGCTTCACTCTGTTCCTGCTTCACTCTGTTCTATACAGGACCTCCAGAAGCCTCCATCTGCTTGTTTCTCCTGTAAAAAATGCCATTTTAAAATTCCTTCAAAGATATAATCCTACAGAAAATTTCACATGACATATGTGACTATTTCCTTCTTTTAGTACAGTCTGATTTTTTTCTTTCTCTTTTTTTTCTGAGCTGGGTCCCTCCCCGCCCCCACCACCATGCAGTAACAACTGGCCTGTGTCTTTCCATTTCTCTTCATCATTGTGCAAACATCACAGAGTGCACTCACACAAACCCAGATGGGGCAGCCTATGACACTCCTAGCTAGCTATATGGTGTGACCCATTGCTCCTAGGCACATTACTGTACAAGACTGCACCACAGCAATACGTATCTGTATCTAAACATACCTAAACATAGAAAAGGCACAATAACAATACAGTGTTAAGAGGCTGGGCCTGGTGGCTCACACCTGTAATCCCTGCACTTTGGGAGGCCAAGGCAGGCAGACTGCCTGAGGTCAGGGGTTCGAGACTAGCCTGGCCAACATGGTGAAAACTCGTCTCTACTAAAAATATCAAAACTAGCTGGATGTGGTGGCAGGTACCTTTAATTCCAGCTACTCAGGGGGCTGAGGCAGGAGAATCGCTTGAACTCGGGAGGTGGAGGTTGCAGTGAGCTGAGATCGTACCACTGCACTCCAACCTGGGTTACAGAATGAGACTCAGTCTCAAAAAAAAAAAAAAAAAATACAGGGGTACAATCTCATGGCACCATTGCCATATCTGTAGTCTGTTGTTGACTGAGACATCATTCTGTGGTGCATGACGTTTATACACATATATACATACATAGAGAGATAGGGCAGGGATTTTTGGGGAGGAGTGGCCATCTGTTTTTTGTTTTTTTTTTGAGTAAGATTGTTCATAGCTTGCTATTCCCACTCAATAATACCTTGTGAAGGGCCCTAGAGTAATGTCTTCAGTTTGATCTTTTTTGTGTTTTGTCTGTGTGTGTATCTGTGTGTTTTGTCCAATTGCCCAATTTTATTCTTTAAATTTTTAAATTTTTCTTTTTGAGATGGAGTCCAGGTTGTAGTACAGTGGCTCGATCTTGGCTCACTGCAGTCTCCGCCTCCCAGGTTCAAGTGATTCTCCTGCCTCGGCCTCCCGAGTAGCTGGGACTACAGGCATGCGCCACCACACCTAGCTACTTTTTTAGTGTTTTTAGTAGAGACGGGGTTTCACCATGTTGGCCAGGATGGTCTCGATCTCCTGACCTTGTGATCTGCTTGCCTTGGCCTCCCAATGTGCTGGGATTACAGGTGTGAGCCACCACGCCTGGCCTTGGTCTTCTTTTTTAATGGCTGTATGGCATTTTTATGACATGCATGCTATCAGAATATACCCACCCATTCAGGGATGGTCTTGTTCCTAGTGCTGTTCCTGGCACCAGGGGGACCCTTACACAGCCCAGGTCTGACCCCGATGGTCTCAACTGTGAGCCTCCAGTGACCCTGTATGACTCCTTCTTATCTTGAATACAAGAACTGTGCGTCCATCTTTCACCCAGGTCCTTCCACACCTACCTCTGTTCCAGCCCATCCTGTCAACTGAACTTGCCAGGTTCCTCTTGACTTTTCCTCCTGTTTTTTTCTCTATGGGGAATGCCCCTTCCCTCCAGCATTTTAAGAATCCAAGCTCTAGTTCAAACCTGTGCACTCCCCATCCCCCCTCAGTATTTTTCTGTCTCCTATAATTCCAAGGAACTTAATTTTAATCTTTAATTATAGTTTAGGACTCACCCTCCTAAATTGCAGAGTACTTGGAAACGAAACACAGCTTCCAGCTTTTAAAAAAAAATCATCCCTGATCATGAGCCACAAAACCTTGCACATAGTAGGTGTTCAATAAATATTCAGTAAACTGATCAAGTAACTGTAATTGCCCTGGGTTAGGGGCTGTTTCTTCGCAACTCCAATCTATTTGTCATCATCAAGACTTCCCTGTCAGCACACTGCAGGCAGTCTTTGTTGGAGTTAACTCAGCTTCTGGAAAACTAGTTAGCAGTGGAGAGGAGCAGGGAAGTTTTGAAAAGGTGAAGTGCCTTTACTTTGTGCCTTATCTACCTCCAACTGTGTCATCTTGGAACATTCGATTCATCAGAAAAGGAAATCGCAGTTAAGAAGAGAACTACCAATGGAAATCTACCCTCGTGATCGCAGGGTGGGTTGCCCGGGGCGACAGTCAGCCTATAGATCCCCCTCCCCTGGTTAAGTTACTGGGAAGGGGCAGAGACCCAATCGCGATGGGAGCCTGGAACTCGCGGCCGCCCGGGGCTCCCCTCCCCTCCCCGGGCTGTATCGAATCCTACAGCCACACCACACTAATTAGCCCGAGAATGGAAGGGGTTGTCATGGCGACCGGGCACTTTTTAAAGCACAGGAATGGTGTTCATTATTGTTCCATGTCTTTGGCTGTGGAGAAAAGGTCAGTGTGGCAGTTGTTTTCCACATGAATTTTGGCCCCAGAGCCAAACTGAAAGGTGGACTGCCCCTCGGAGAGACAGGAAGATGGTGAGTGTGGCTGAACTTTTTGAACGGGGAGGCCCTTTTGGTGTTATATCTTTAGTTTTAATAAGTCGAGCGCCGGAATGGAGAATCACACAGACTTTGTTCACTAGAGATTGGGAGGAAAGTCGGCGGCAGGAACGGTGAAAGCCTGAGAGAGAGAGATTTTGGATGAAAGTCTTTGAGCATCAAGTGATTAAATATTAAATTTAGAAGGCTTCTCTGGCAGTATAAATTGAGCAAAGTTGAGTAAGTCAGATACTTTATTCAGTGTTCGTTTTATGTTTGCTCTGTACTAGTCTTTGTAGGTTGCTGCTGGTTAGATTATATTCCCAAATAAATATCACAAAAGCATTGTAACCAAATGCCTTCAGAACAGCTACCCACCCCCCAACCCACATTTTTAAATCCAGAGATACAGGGTAAGAGTCACCAAGGGTAATTTTGTTTTCATATTTTTATGACTTTCTTTTCTAAGGATCATTTAAATAATCAAGACTTAAAAAGCAGAGAACCACAGTTCTTTGGACGTTTGCCTTAATTTGCCGGCCGCACTTGGTTGGAATACTGCTAAGTAAAGACCATTTGACCACAGTGTTTGTAGAAGAAATTAAATATGAGAGAAGTCAGTCCACTGGAGCTGATGGCAGCTCTTCCATCAAAAGCTGTGAGGGACAGTTGCAAAGCATTCTTGAAACTTATTTTGTGTCAATTTTGAAAGCTTGCAGAATAACATGGCTTTTTGCCTAATTTTGTGTTAATGACTGACTGCATTTTAAAGGGTCACAAATTAAGCCACTTTGCATTCTTCTTGTATTTTTTAACAATGAGGTCCTAGGGCATTATTTTGGTACCATTGCATTCACAGTTGTGTAGGCTAACAACATGCAGCTTAATTAAAGGGAACGGGTGGATGGATTAAAAAAACAAATCAGTGTCCCCAAAGTCCCTAAATGGCCCACTTTTTTTTGCTTTCCCCTGAAAACCTATTGTCCTGGCACCAGTTACCAGTTTGTTTGGCAGCTGAGCAAATAAGAGAACACATTTCAGAACATTAAGTCTCGGCTTTGAATCTGTCTTTAATTTGTGTGTTCTCAGGCTCACTTTATTTAATGATCATAGTATGGAGCTCTCAATAAATGGGTATTTGACTAGAATTTGAACAAAATCAAACTCTTTTTTTTTTTTTTTATTTTTTGAATCCCGAGACAGAGTCTCACTCTCACCCAGGCTGGAGTGCAATGGTGTGATGTCGGCTCACTGCAACCTCCGCCTCCCGGTTCAAGTGATTCTCCTGCCTCAGCCTCTCAAGCAGCTGGGATTACAGGCAGGCACCATTGCACCCAGCTAATTTTTGTATTTTTAGTAGAGATGGGGTTTCACCATGTTGGTCAGGATGGTCTCCAACTCCCGACCTCAGGTGATCCTACCTCAGCCTCCCAAAGTGCTAGGATTACAGGTGTGAGCCGCCATGCCCGGCCTATCAAACTCGTTTTCACTGGCCAGCGTGGTCATCTCGCCTTCTCCACCCCACCCCACCTGCCACACTGTGGGTATCCACCCCTCACTGAGTCACTGTGTTCTTAGGTAAAATAAGCCTTTAAATTAAAGTTTAAAACGTAAAAGAAAGTGCCAGTGCGGTGGCTCGTGCCTGTAATCCCAGAACTTTGGGAGGTCAAGGAAGGTGGATCCCGAGGTCAAGAGATCGAGACCATCCTGGCTAACATGGTGAAACCCCGTCTCTACTTAAAAACACAAAAAAATTGGCTGGGCATGGTGGCACATGCCTGTAGTCCCAGCTACTTGGTAGGCTGAGGCAGGAGAATTGCTTGAACCTGGGAGGTGGAGGTTGCAGTGAGCTGAGATTGCACCCCTGCACTCCAGCCTGGCAACAAAGCGACACTCCGTCTCAAAAAAAAAAAAGTAAAAGAAAGTGACATTTGTATGACACTTTAGATTTTTTGGGAAAAAAATAGATTTTAAAGTGGCAGAACATGTATGATACTTGTGCTACAGCCAGAAATGTGAACGTGGGTATTAATAAAATGGAATTATTGATATCTTTTAAGATGTGATCATAGTGTTGTTATATTAACACATGACGTATACTAGAATCTTTGCAAATGAGATGATGTGTTTGGGACTTTCTTAAATATAAGGGGAGGGAGGAAGTAGCTTGTGGATGGGGCAGATTGTCAGGGGTGATGGTTGCTAAAGCAAGGTGATGTTCCACTGGCGTTCATGTGCTAGTCTGTATTTCTGTACGGGTTCAAGACTCTTGTATGTGTTTTGAAGCAGGGATAGACCAGTGATGGAGGTGGCTTCATTAAGTCTGTCTCATCTAATTCTGTCCTTTCTAATGCTATCCCAACTTTTTATATGGTTTAGATGCCAGACCAGTTTGACCAGGCGGTGGTGCTGAACCAGCTGAGGTACTCAGGGATGCTGGAGACTGTGAGAATCCGCAAAGCTGGGTATGCGGTCCGAAGACCCTTTCAGGACTTCTACAAAAGGCAAGAGGGAGCTGAATGGATCCTCCTCCTTTTCAAAGGGGTTGGAGAAAACAGGGAACCATCGCAGGAGGTGACCCCATGTGTCTTTACGTTGTAGGTATAAAGTGCTGATGAGGAATCTGGCTCTGCCCGAGGACGTCCGAGGAAAGTGCACGAGCCTGCTGCAACTCTACGATGCCTCCAACAGCGAGTGGCAGCTGGGGAAGACCAAGGTAGGGCGCGGAGAAAGAGCAGCTCCCGTCGAACCCCCAACAGATGTCCAGGTGATGCTCAGGGGTTTCGGGCCATATGACACTGCTGCACCATTGTTCTTTCACATTGGGAAGATGCTCCCGTTGCCATGCCTGCCATAACCTTTTGTCTTCCAAACAGTTACTATTTTATTTGAAGTCCTTGACTTGTCAGGGACTTTGTTTCATTAGGAACACGTTGAAACATCACATCCTGATTGTTTGTGTGTGTGTGTATTTGTTCAGGCAGTCAGCAAATGTTGGCAGATGAGTGACAGTGCTTTGGAAGTACGAGGCAGCCCCCCATGTCTAAGAAGGATACCCAGACACTTCTCTGACTTTCTCTAATTAAAATGCTGGCTTTTATCCCTGCAACCAGAATAGCTGTTGAGCGAGAGATCAGTAGCCGGTCTGAAATCCTAGCGGTTGTCAAAAACTCAGTCCAGAAGGCAAAAAAAGAAAATCTACTTGTACGTGTGTATGTTTGTGTGTGTGTGTGTGTTTAAGTTGGCATCTCACTCTGTTGCCCAGGCTGGAGTGCAGTGGCACCATCTCAGCTCACTGCAATCTCTGCCGCCCGGGTTCAAATGATTCTCCCGCTTCAGCCTCCTGAACAGTTGGGACTACAGGGTGCGCACCACTATGCCCAGCTAATTTTAGTATTTTTACCATATTGGCCGGGCTGATCTTGAACTCTTGACCTTGTGATCCACCTGCCTCAGCCTCCCAAAGTGCTGGGATTACAGGTGTGAACCACCATGCCTGGCAGAAAGTCTCCTTTTGAACATGCTGTTGGGGCAGAGGCCCCTTCACCCCTCGTTCCAGATAGGAGCTGAGTAGTGGGCAGTCTGGTCTAAACATCAACGATCAGTCATCACATTTGTTGCATGACTTCTTTCGGTATCAGAAACTGCCAAGGGTCTCATTTGGCTTCCACTCTCATTCCCCACCCAACTCCAGTGACTTGTCACATGGGAAAGACAGCAGTGTGGCTTGACACTGAAATGCAGGCCGCCGAGGACACGTGTGTCCTCAAAAGGAAGAATGAATCCTCATTCCTGGTCCCCTGCCCTTATACACAGCATTGCAGTGTCAGAGAAGTATTTTGAAGCTTCCACTCGTAGTACGCTCTTTTTAATCTAGGAGGTTTTTGTTTGTTTGTTTTTGTTTTTTGAGATGGAATCTAGCTCTGTAGCACAGGCTAGAGTGCAGTGGTGCAATCTTGGCTCACTGTAACCTCTGCTTCCTGGGTCCTCGTTCTAGCAATCCTCCTGCCTCAGCCTCCCAAGTAGCTGGGATTAGAGGTGTATGCCACCATGCTCAGCTAAGTTTTATATTTTTAGTAGAGATGGGGTTTCACCATGTTGGTCAGGCTGGTCTTGAACTCCTGATCTCATGATCCATGTGCCTCGGCCTCCCAAAGTGCTGGAACTACAGGCGTGAGCCACCGCACCTGGCCTTAATCTAGGAGTTTCTTTGCTTTATAAAAAGAGGAAGGGAAAGAGGGAGGAAAGCAGGGAGAGAGAGACATATGTCTTGCAGTTTGACCAATGTGAGACTGATGACAGGTACTTAGGCATCACCTCCTGGCCATTCAGCAAGGGAAAGGCAGGATGGACCCACCTCCCTGCTCCAGGGGAATGTTTTATTGCTGAGGGATTTAAGATACAAACACAAAATAGGGTAGAGATGGCATGCACAGATGATCACATGAGGTAGCTGTTGCTCTGTAAGACATTACTGCAAACTTTGTGGCTTTAACAACACACATTGACTGTCTCATAGTATTTAAGGGTCAGAGCTGGGGCCCAGCTAAGCTGGATCCTCTGATCAAAGTCCCCCAAGCCTGCAGTCCTTGTATCTCGGGGCTTTGTTCCTTTCTGGACCACAGGGCGTCTTCCAGGCTCACTTGGTCATTGGCAGAATTCTTTCCCTGTGTTTGCAGGACTGAAGTGCCTGTTTTCTTTCTGGTTGTTGGCTGGGAACCACTTGCAGCTTCTAGAAGCCCCCAGAGTTCCTTGCCACGTGGCCCCCTCACCACATGGCAGCTCACGTCTTTCATGCCAGCAGGACAACCCCATGCTGCAGCGTAGGATGGAGTGTTAAATGATGTAATGTTCTAACGAAGTGACATCCCATCGCCTTTGCTACAGTCTACTGGCTAGAAGCAAGTCCCAGGTTCCACCCATACTCAGGAAGATTAAAGTGGGTGTAACCCACTGGGGGACACCTGAGGGTATGTGTCCCGCAGGTGGTAGGTCTCTCTGCCTGGAATCTTACTCTCCACTCTCTCTGTGGCCCACTCATCCTTAGGTCTTGACTGTAGACTTTGACAGGACTCCTTTTTTGATACTCTTCAGTGCACCCTACAGCTGGGTTAAGCCCCCTCTGTCATCCCAGGTCATCCTCTTCTTAGCCCTGACACAGGAGGGCTTCTTAGCCCTTCATATGCTGTCCTGTGGTCTTGCTGTTGACTTCTCTACAGTCACCCAGCAGAGCATACAGAGCTGATCGTTCATTCTAGATGGTGCCGAGCTTAGTCAGTATCTGTGAAGTGCTGAAAAATAGTAAGAGGTGACACAAGATGTCATACATTTATTCAGGTAGGAAAACTTGCTACAGAAAATGGCTCAAGTGGAGCTCTTGGCAGTGTAATAGAGTCTGCTCTGATTTTTTTTTTCTTTTTTTTTTTTTGAGACGGAGTTTCACTCTTGTTACCCAGGCTGGAGTGCAATGGCGCGATCTCGGCTCACCGCAACCTCCGCCTCCTGGGTTCAGGCAATTCTCCTGCCTCAACCTCCTGAGTAGCTGAGATTGCAGGCACGCGCCACCATGCCCAGCTAATGTTTTTTGTATTTTTAGTAGAGACGGGGTTTCACCATGTTGACCAGGATGGTCTCGATCTCTTGACCTCGTGATCCACCCGCCTCGGCCTCCCAAAGTGCTGGGGTTACAGGCTTGAGCCACCGCGCCCGGCCTCGATCTCTTGACCTCGTGATCCACCCGCCTCAGCCTCCCAAAGTGCTGGGATTACAGGCTTGAGCCACCGCGCCCGGCTGATTTTTTTTTAATCAAAAAGAAATTGCAGGTCAGGCACAGTGGCTCAAACCTGTAATTCCAGCACTTTGGGAGGCTGAGGCAGGATGCTTGAGCCCAGGGGTCTGAGACCAGCCTGGACAACATAGTGAGACCTTTTCTCTACTCAAATTCAGAAAAATTAGCCAGGCGTGGTGCTGTGTGCCGTCGTTCCAGCTACTTGGGTGGCTAGAGTGGGAGGATTGCTGAAACCCAGGAGGTCAAGACTGCAGTGAGCCCTGATCATGCCACTGCACTCCGGCCTGGGGACAGACCGAGACCCTGTCTCTAAAGCAAAAAGAAATTGCATTCCCTATAAAGGAATCACCTCCCACCTGTCTTACTGCCTTATACAGTAGAGTAACATTAGAGATCATTCAAACTCACCCTGACCATTAACAGTCTCTTCTGGGCTCAAGGTACCAATCCAACTTCACTTAGAGTTTATGTTATGGAAATCAGGCCCAAGGCAGGCTTGGGATGTAGTGTGGCACAGGGGACACAGAGACGTGGGCGTTGTCCTCAGTTCATCATGTTGGAAGGTAAGACATTCACACACAGTGGATGAATTAAGTCATGCAGCACAGTGTTTTTAAAGGAGTAAGGAAACAGCTTCCACAAGAGAGAGATCCCTATGGATTGAAATGATCAAGGAAGTATTCCAGAAGAAGTTTTTAAAGAGTTCAGTTTTTTGTTTGTTTGGTTTTGAGATGGAGTCCCGCTCTGTCGCCCAGGCTGGAGTGCAGTGGCACAATCTCAGCTCACTGCAACCTCTGCTTCCCAGGCTCAAGCAATTCTCCTGCCTCAGCCTCCTGAGTAGCTGGGATTACAGGCATGCACCACCATGCCCAGCTAATTTTTTTGTATTTTTAGTAGAGACAGAGTTTCACCATGTTGGCCAGGCTGGTCTCGAACTCCTGACATTGTGTTCTGCCTGCCTCAGCCTTCCAAAGTGCTGGAATTACAGGTGCAAACCACCACACCCAGCTTTTTTTTTTTTTTTTGAGACAGAGTCTCACTCTGTCACCCAGGCTGGAGTGCAGTGTTGCAATCTTGGCTCACTGCAACTTTCGCCTCCCAGGTTCAAGTGATTCTCCTGCCTCAGGCTCTTGAGTAGCTGGGATTACAGCCATGCACCATCACACCCAGCTATTTTTTGTATTTTTAGTAGACACGGGGTTTCACCATGTTGGTCAGGTTGGTCTCAGACTCCTGACCCTGTGATCCGCTCACCTTGGCCTCCCAAAGTGCTAAGATTACAGGCATGAGGCACCTCACCCGGCCACAGAGGAGTTCAGTTCTAATTGGTGAGCAGTTGGGAGTAGAGGTTAGATGGAAGTTTATTTTTCCACAGACAAGATAGGAAGTAAATGTGAACACCAAAGCATTTGAGTTGTGCCCTCTTGATAGTTTTGATCTTGACCAGCATTTTGTTTACATGTTGGATAGCAGATGGTTTGGTTTGTTGCCCCAGAAGTTCTTTGCATTTAAAGCCTCAAACCTCTAATGAACTTCTGGGGCTTCTGGTAAAGGAATGGCAACCGAGGCAAGTGTGGCCAGTGTTGAAGGCAGAAAATTAGCCATGGCCCCAGGTCTGAACTGGCTGGCTTATATAAAACGTAACTGTTCTTGTAAGGCTAGCATTCTTACCTAGGACTAGGGAAGCATTCCTAGGAGCCGCGGAGGGCTGTGGGAGGCGTCATGGCACAGCCCATGGGGAGATTGTGATGTATTTCCCTGCTGAATAGCTGTGCTTATGGTGACTGAGATGGGCAGCCGTTCCCTCTCCTTCCTGGTTTTGACTTTTCCCACTGCCTCAAGGATTCCTCAAGGCTCAAGACTTTACTTTTCTGACCCTCTGGACTTCAGTGGCAGACTTTTCTTCCTCCGTTCTATGGCAGTGAAGCCTGCAGGAAGTATTTTTGTAAAGACAGCGTACTAGAATACCCACAGGATCTTAAGCTACCTAAGATAAAGGTGAAAAAGAGCCATGTGAAATGGTTCCTGTGGGATGTTGAGTCAAGTTCAGCCAAGCAGCGCCTGAGTGGGCACCACCCTTTGCTCAGCTGCTTTGGTGCTTGCTTCAGTGCCACATTTCCAGTCTACGGCTTGTGCCACCTTGGTCTCGGCTGAGACCTGGGAATATGGCAGGGTGACACAAGGCTCACAGCAACACTTTCTGTATTAGTTGCTTCTCATACTGCTAACAAAGACATACCTGAGACTGGGTAATTTATAAAGGAAAGAGGTTTAATTGACTCACAGTTCCACATGACTGTGGAGGCTTCACCATCATGGTGGAAGACCAAGGAGGAGCAAGGGTACATCTTACATGGTGGCAGGCAAGAGAGTACGTGCAGGGGAACTGCCCTTTATAAAACCATCAGATCTCATGAGACTTACTCACTATCATAAGAACAGCATGGGAAAGACCCGCCTCCCTAATTCAGTTATCTCCCCCCCGGGTCCCTCCCATGACACGTGGGAATTATGGGAGGTACAGTTCAGGATGAGATTTGACTGGGGACACAGCCAAACCTATTACTTCCCTTCTGTCGTCGTCTAAATTCAGGGTTCATGTTCTTAATGAAACTGACAGGTCCCTAGAAGCATTTTCTCCATTTGTTTGCCCTTCAGGTTGGTGAAGGAAAAAATAAATAAAGATGTAGGAGAATAATTTAATAGGTAGGAAAAGAAAGCTGTCTTTAAATATATATATATTTATTTATTTATTTAGAGAGCTGTCTTTTTAATGGACTTTAAAACTAAAGCACGTATTTGTCTGATTCTGATTCTAACCAAGACATTCTTTGGACTCCAGTGGTGGAGAAAACCTTTGTTCCTTCATAAAGGTGTGTCACTCACAGACACAAGAGGGATGATAGGAGACAAAAGTGTCTTCTTCCCCTTCCCCTAGGTTTGGCTATTGCTTTTCCTTTTAAGCACTCATAAGAGCAAAAGCATTAGAGTAAGATACGTAGTACCGAACGAAAATCTTAAAGAGAAGTCGAAGTACTTCTTTAAAGGCCAGTCTTGATGAAAACTGCTTTTGCTATATGGCTTTGATACATACAGGGAATTCTGTAGTTCTGAACATCTTTAATGATGATCACTTCCAACAAACATTACGCTTACAGCTTCTGTAGCAACAGAGTATAAGAGTATATATATATGTATATATATTTTTTGTTTGTTTTGTTTTGTTTTTGTTTGAGACGGAATCTTACTCTGTTGCCCAGCCTGGAGTGCAGTGGCACGATCTCGGCTCACTGCAACCTCCACCTCCAAGGTTCAAGTGATTCTCCTTGCTCAGCCTCCCGAGTAGCTGGGATTACAGGCACCTGCCACCAGGCCCGGCTAATTTTTTTGTATTTTTAGTAAAGATGGAGTTTCCTTTGTTGGCCAGGCTGGCCTCCAACTCCTGACCTCAGGTGATCCACCCGCCTCCGCCTCCCAAATTGCTGCGATTATAGGTGTGAGCCACTGTGTCCAGCCAACAGAGTATATTAATTGTATTACAAGGAGAGGATTGTATGAAGAGCTTTCATAGGAGAATGATTTGTGTTGGACTTTTACTCGGAGCAGGAATAGGTACAGCTGTGAGTCACAAGGTAGTAAGACTCTTTATTTGCTTTTTTGACCAAATGTCATGGAGGACACAGAACAGAGAACCTGGAAAAATGTGCCATCGGGAGAACATGATGCACCATTTTACGCCAGAATGACTCATGGAAACATAAAGTAGAAAATTGTGGAGACCCCAGAATGCCTCTGTGTAGAGTAACACAAAAAGCATGAAAATGTTTGATACTGGTTGTTTTAGGGAATAATTCAGAATTTCTTTTTTTTTTTTTTTTTTTTTTGAGACAGAGTTTCGCTCTCGTTACCCAGGCTGGAGTGCAATGGCGCAATCTCGGCTCACCGCAACCTCCGCCTCCTGGGTTCAGGCAATTCTCGTGCCTCAGCCTCCTGAGTAGCTGGGATTACAGGCACGTGCCACCATGCCCAGCTAATTTTTTGTATTTTTAGTAGAGACGGGGTTTCACCATGTTGACCAGGATGGTCTCGATCTCTTGACCTCGTGATCCACCCGCCTCGGCCTCCCAAAGTGCTGGGATTACAGGCATGAGCCACCGCACCTGGCCTCAGAGTTCTCATTTTAAACTCAATTTTCAGAATTGTGTTCTTAACGTCAATATTTTGTGTGCATTTAAGTTTTTGAAGCCAAGATGCTCTGATTATAATCACATAGCAGGCACAAAGAGAGGATTTCCACATGAAAGCAAAATAACAATTTAGAAATTTCCTGGCTTCCCTCCCTTCCTACTTACCTTCCTCTGCCTCTGTATCTCTGAATCATATTACATAGACTCAATGTAGTGACCAGTGCTGGTCTATGAACTATTTGTGCCGGTCCATGATGTGATAACTGCTTAGAGGCTTAGATAGCAGTTTGGTAGTCATCTTATGCTTGCTGAATCTAGTAACAATAACCATAAAAGGGACTCTATTTTTATACAGCATGTTTGTTTTTGCTTATAATGTATCTTACTGGATTTTGCAACTGTTCTAGCCCGTGACAGGTGGAACCTTTAAAAAGCACTATTCTAGAAAGCATGGCCATGGGAGTTTGGAGCAAAGTTAAGGAGAGAAAAAAGCCTTAACCCCAGAAGGTATCTCTGACTCAGAAATGCCTTCCTTCTGCTGGCCACGTTCTTTGCTTCTGACATGTGACTTTCTCCTGAGCAGGTCTTTCTTCGAGAATCCTTGGAGCAGAAACTGGAGAAGCGGAGGGAGGAGGAAGTGACCCACGCGGCCATGGTGATTCGGGCCCATGTGTTGGGCTTCTTGGCTCGGTAAGAACCGCAGACTGAGGGGAGAAGGCAGTAAGCTCCATGAGGGGTCCTTCCTTCCCAGTGTGTTCCAGTGGAGTAGCCTGAGTTTTTTTAATTGAGGCGAGTCTCAAGTCAGGCCTCCTACTAGCATGCCCAAAACCTAGCTAGCCTGATGTGGGCAGCAAGTAGGAAAGGGGGCTGTGCACTTTTTGACATCTCAAGTAGAAAGAAAATAGGCTGGGCGCAATGGCTCTCGCTTGTAATCCCCGCGATTTGGGAGACTGAGGCAGGCCGATCATGAGATCAAGAGATCGAGACCATCCTGGCCAAAATGGTGAAACCTCATCTCTACTAAAAATACAAAAATTAGCTGGGCATGGTGGTGCGTGCCTGTAGTCCCAGCTACTCAGGAGGCTGAGGCAGGAGAATCGCTTGAACCCAGGAGGCGGAGGTTGCAGTGAGCTGAGATTGCGCCACTGCACTCCAGCCTGGCAACAGAGCGAGACTCCGTCTCAAAAAAAGAAAGAAAGAACAGTGACATTAGAGAACTCTACTGAGATCTATTTATTTATTTGAGACAGGGTCTCACTCTGTCGCCAAGGCTAGAGTACAGTGGCACGATCATGGCTCACTGCAGCCTTGACTTCCTGGGCTCAAGCAGTCCTCCCGCCGCAGACTCCCAAGTAGCTGGGACCACAGGCACACGCCACCACGCCTGGCTAATTAAAAAAATAAAAATTTTAGAGATGGGTCTCTCCATGTTTCCCAGGAGCGTCTCAAACTCCTGGGCTCATGGGATCCACCTGCTTTGGCTTCCCAAAGTGCTGGTATTACAGGTGTGAGCCACCGTGCCCAGCCTTTTACTGATATTTAAATTGTTTACCTACTTCCTCTGCATCAGGTAGTGAAGGCATAGCGCCCTGCTGTTTACTTCATTGTTATCATTTTGTCGACAGAGACCCATCCTCTGGTTGTTTGTTGAACAGGCAGCTTTTCATGGGCATTTGAGTTTCGTCCACTATGCGCCGGAAACCCCACGTTACATTTTCTGAAGTTCAAAGCTGTCCTGCTGTGATGATTTTTTCATATGAACAGGATTTTGTCAGATCTCTTTGGGTCCTGTTTACGCAACTTTCTGCCGAGACTATTCAAAGTCAGCATGAGGGCTTACGTGTTTATTTAGCCAAGATAGTGATAGCTTCTTACTTTAGTTTTTTTTGTTATTATTTCTTTGTTTTTATTCTGTTTTGTTTTGACCAAAGGGGCCTCCTTGTTCTCTCCAGTTTCCATAATGAGAGTATCATTCTAAAACTGGGTCCTCTTTTGGCTTGTAGCCTTGATGTGAGCTCATTTGAATAGCTCAAAGGCTCATTACTTCAATCATGATTCTCTTGTTTTCTTTCATTTTCAGAAAACAATACAGAAAGGTCCTTTATTGTGTAGTGATAATACAGAAGAATTATAGAGCATTCCTTCTGAGGAGAAGATTTTTGCACCTGAAAAAGGCAGCCGTAGTTTTCCAGAAGCAACTCAGAGGTCAGATTGCTCGTCGAGTTTATAGACAGTTGCTGGCGGAGAAAAGGGAGCAAGAAGAAAAGAAGAAACGGGAGGAGGAAGAAAAGAAGAAACGGGAGGAGGAAGAGAGGTAGGAGGAAGAAGAAAGGTACAGTTCTTTTGTTGCTGGGATGAAACAAAAGGATGTATGTTGAGTGCTCTGCTCACTATCTATCTGTGCAGCCAGAAATCCCAGCAGATGCCCCAGAACCTGCAATTTGAAACAGTAACTCTTTTAGGCCAGAATATAAAATTCCTTGGCAGCATTGAAGACTCAGTTCTGGGAATATTTTTATTCATACACAGAACAAGTCCATAGCGAGAGGAAGGGGCTCTTGTCTTTCATGCTTTCTGTGTTTGGCAAAGCTATTTTAAAAAGCTCTCTGAAAAGTGGTTCTAGGATTATTGTTGTTGATTTTCACTTTTTCTTTACTATTTTTAGAGAGAGAGAGAGACAGCGAAGAGAAGCCGAGCTCCGCGCCCAGCAGGTAATGAGCGCGGTGACAACTTTGCGTCTCTTTTTCTACTTCTGCTTCCTTCCCACTTCTAATGCTTGGATGCTGGGATTCAAAACTAAATTAAAGTAGAAAGGTAACAGAAGGACAGTTTAAGAGGATGTGTTTATGATGCAGTTTCTGACCCATTACAGTAGGGTAAAGCGTAGTGAATGGCTAAGGTTTCAATGTGCATCACAAGAGCATAATTTCTCTAAATCGGCATAACCAGCCTGTTAGTTTGCTGGGCCCACCACAAAATACCACAGACCAGGTGGGTTGAAAAGTGGAAATTGATTTTCTCCCAGTTCTGGAGGCTGGAACTGCAAGATCAAGTTGTCCTTAGGTTTAATTTCTCCGGAGGCCGCCTCCTTGGCTTGCAGGCGGCTGTCTTCCCAGTGCGTCCTCAGGCGGCCTTTCTTCTCTGTGTGTCCCGGTCTTCTGTACCCGTAAGGACACCCGTCAGCTCAGATTAGAGCCTACCCTATTATCGACCTCATTTTAACCTAGTCGCCCCTTTAAAAGCCCTATCTTGGCCGGATGCAGTGGCTTACGTCTGTAATCCCAGCACTTTGGGAGGCCGAGGCGGGTGGATCACCTGACGTCGGGAGTTCCAGACCAGCCTGGCCAATGTGGTGAAACCCTGTCTCCACTAAAAATAGAAAATTCAACCGGGCGTGGTAGTGGGCACCTGTAATCCCAGCTACTCTGGAGGCTGAGCCAGGAGAATCACTTGAACCCAGAAGGGAGAGATTGCAATGAGCTGAGATCATGCCACTGCACTCCAGCCTGGGCAACAGAGCGAAACTCCGTCAAAAAAAAAAACACCTGTCTCCAAATTCAGTCACATTCTGCAGTATTGGGGGTTAGGACTTCAACCTGTGGACTTTATGGGGACACAGTCCAACTTACAATGGCCACATTTCATCCTGGTTGCAAAGCGGAAGCTATTCCTTGCACTTTTTTGTACCGAAGCCTTCTAAAATCTCCCTTCTGCTTCTGTCCAGGAGGAAGAAACCAGGAAGCAGCAAGAACTCGAAGCCTTGCAGAAGAGCCAGAAGGAAGCTGAACTGACCCGTGAACTGGAGAAACAGAAGGAAAACAAGCAGGTGGAAGAGATCCTGCGTCTGGAGAAGGAAATCGAGGACCTGCAGCGCATGAAGGAGCAGCAGGAGCTGTCCCTGACCGAGGCCTCCCTGCAGAAGCTGCAGCAGCGGCGGGACCAGGAGCTCCGCAGGCTGGAGGAGGAAGCGTGCCGGGCGGCCCAGGAGTTCCTCGAGTCCCTCAATTTCGACGAAATCGACGAGTGTGTCCGGAATATCGAGCGGTCCCTGTCGGTGGGAAGCGAGTTTTCCGGCGAGCTGGCCGAGAGCGCGTGCGAGGAGAAGCCCAACTTCAACTTCAGCCAGCCCTACCCGGAGGAGGAGGTGGACGAGGGCTTCGAGGCCGACGACGACGCCTTCAAGGACTCCCCCAACCCCAGCGAGCACGGCCACTCGGACCAGCGAACGAGCGGCATCCGGACCAGCGACGACTCTTCGGAGGAGGACCCGTACATGAACGACACGGTGGTGCCCACCAGCCCCAGCGCGGACAGCACGGTGCTGCTCGCGCCGTCGGCGCCGGACTCCGGCAGCCTGCACGACTCCTCCAGCTGCGAGTCCACCTACTGCCTGCCCCAGAACGCCGGCGACCTCCCGTCCCCGGACGGCGACTACGACTACGACCAGGACGACTACGAGGACGGCGCCATCACCTCCGGCAGCAGCGTGACCTTCTCCAACTCCTACGGCAGCCAGTGGTCCCCCGACTACCGCTGCTCCGTGGGGACCTACAACAGCTCGGGCGCCTACCGCTTCAGCTCGGAGGGGGCGCAGTCCTCGGTGAGTACCCGCCTGGCACGTCCCAGTGACATGCGCGGCCGGTCACGCCCACCTCTGCTGCATCCTCAGGTCGGATGAAGACAGCCCCAGGGGATATCCGTACGAAGACTGCAGAGTCGGGGTCTTAGATCATCCTGAACCTTCTTCTCATTCCACAAGCCAATTGCATTCCTAAGTGGAACTTTGATGTGCCTGTTGCAGGTTTAGCCCAAAGCCTGGGAAAACTGGCTATTTATTTATTTATTTATTTGCACATAGAGTCTCACTCTGTCGCCCACACTGGAGTGCATTGGCATGATCTCAGCTCACTGCAACCTCCTCCTCCCGAGTTCAAATGATTCTCCTGTCTCAGCCTCCTGAGTAGCTGGGATTACCGGCGCCCGCCACCATGCCCGGCTAATATTTTGCATTTTTAGTAGAGATGGGATTTTGCCATGTTGGCCGGGCTGATCTTGAACTCCTGACCTCAGGTGATATGCCTGCCTCGGTTTCCCAAAGTGCTGGGATTACAGGCGTGAGGCACTGTGCCTGGCTGAAAATTGGCTTTTTAAATGGATCTTTTGTTTATTTTATTTCTTCCTCCCCCAACCCCACTGCTTTTTAACAATTTGAATGGAAATTTAGCTTTGCTGGGCTGTATTAGGAAATGAGACACACCCCAAACTGGAACAAGACTTGTCAGGGGTGAATTGGCAGACTTTCCTTACAGTAACTTCACAATCAAACCACACAATGTTATTTCTTATAGTGGGTGTAAGTGAAGAATCTGTAGGATTAAATGCACTCTTTCCAGTTTCTGGATTTATTTATAGTTTACTTTTATTTTGTCCCTTTGGGCATGCATTGAATGTTCTCTTGACTTTCGAAGATTTAAAGATATGTTTAACATAGTAATTCAAAGGCGGTTAACTCTTGCATGGTTTGATTAAAATTATAGCGTTAAAAAGCAGTGTTAACTTCAGGGCAGATAGTCTTTGGATTCCAGTATGCCTTGTCTTTTATGTATCAATTCAACTGACCATTTGACCTTAAAAGTCGGTATTTTTAATTCTGAATTTTGTGTGGTTCCATAAATCTGGCATATTGCTTCTTTGTCTGTTTTTCTGTTTTCTTTTTTTGAGACAGAGTCTTGCTCTGTCGCCCAAGCTGGAGTGCAGTGGCACAATCTCGGCTCACTGCAATCTCTGCCTCCTGGGTTCAAGTGATTCTCTTGCCTCAGTCTCTTGAGTAACTGTATTTTTTTATTTTTTCAATGATGATACACATGCTGGGTGTCTTTGTGGCTTGCTTTCTGGCCTTTTCTCTCACCATTGACTTCTCTCTCTCTCTTTGTCCAGTTTGAAGATAGTGAAGAGGACTTTGACTCCAGGTTTGATACAGATGATGAGCTTTCATACCGACGCGACTCTGTGTACAGCTGTGTCACTCTGCCGTATTTCCACAGCTTTCTGTACATGAAAGGTATGACTGCAGCCACCGCAGAGTCTGGGATGAGAGAGAGCACTGGAAAATGGAGGTGTTACTTTATCTGGGCTGATGGATGGGGACTGGGAAAGTCACTCTAGCTACCCTTACCTCGGTGTTAGGCCACTTAGATGAGTGAAGGAACGCCCTGTCACGCTGATGTGACATGGCGATGTGGTCCTACCAGCATGAACACAGCTGTGACTCCCCTGGCTTGGTGCAGAGTGGCAGGACAAAGCATTTGCAACCGGTGCCTCCATGATCAGCCCTCCTCCTCCCCTCTGCCTCTCCCTGTCTCTTTTTCCCTTCTTCGTAGCTCTCTTTCACCTTCGTCATTCTTTCTATTTTCATTCCCTCTCTCTCCCACTTTCTCTTTCACCGTCTCCCTCTCTGTCTCTGTCTGATCATGCTCTCTCAAATATGCAGACATATAAACCAATGTGTGTGTTGCTGCTGCTGCTGGAATTGGTCGAGACCCATTCTAATGATAAACTGCATTTTCTCTCCTACCAGGGATACTAGAGAGGCTAGAGGGATGTGCTATCCAGAGGGCGGGAGCGAGGATCTCACTGAGGGCCACAGTCTTCAATGCTCACCATACCCACTTCATGATGAGCATTTTCATTGTATGCTTTAATTGTTATTAACCGTTGAATATGCTTTGCTGAACCTTAACAGTTAGGGGCCTTGAGGCACACTCCTTTTGGAAAATTATTTTCTGTGTATTTATCTATGTATTTAGGTATCTATTTAAGACAGGATCTTGCTCTGTTACCCAGGCTAGAGGGCAGTGGTGTGGGCATGGCTTACCGCAGACTCAAAGTCAGGCTCAAGCCATCTTCCCGCCTCAACCTTCATAGAAGCTAGGACTACAGATGCACACCACCATGCCAGGCTAATTTTTTTTTTTTGAGACAAAGTTTCACTCTTGTTGCCCAGGCTGGAGTGCAATGGCGCAATCTCAGCTCACCACAAGCTCCGCCTCCTGAGTTTTAAGAGATTCTCCTGCCTCAGCCTCCTGAGTAGCTGGGACTACAGGCATGCACCACCACACATGGCTAATTTTTATATTTTCAGTAGAGATGGGGTTTCTGCATGTTGGTCAGGCTGGTCTTGAACTCCAGACCTCAGGTGATCCGCCTGCCTCAGCCTCCCAAAGTGCTGGGATTACAGGCGTGAGCCACCATGCCTAGCCCAGGCTAATTTTTTATAGAGATGGAATCTCACTATGTTGCCCAGGTTGGTCTCCAACCCTTGGCCTCAAGCAGTCCTCCCACCTTGGCCTCCCAAAGTTCAGGGATTGCAGGCATGAGCCACCATGCCTAGCCAGAACATTATTTAATTGGGACCTTGTATTTATGCTTTATTCCCGTTCTTGACTCTGAGTCGTAACTCAGTGACAGGGATAATAGGAAACCATAATCATCACCAATTTTTGGCAGGAGTTTTACATGGATGGTTAAAAAGAAGGGGCCGTCCTGTTTTTTGCATGGACCTAGACTGGAGCAGGGAGAGAGTTTGAGAACGTAAGATGGGCGGGGATACGAGAACCTTCTCCCCAGGTCTCCTCTTCCTGCTTTCTGCCGTCTTTGGTTTTTGACCTCGTCTTCTCCTTCCCTTTTCTCCACCTTCCTTTTTCCTGCCATCTTTCTTCAGTCACGTTTTCTTTCTTCGTCTTCACCACGAAAACATTTTTATTTCGTGTTCCTTCTTTTTTCCTGTGCTTGTCTTTCTGTTCACTTCTTTACCTTTTTTTCCATACCTTTTCTTTTGTTGTCCTTAATATTTTTTTCTGTTTTCTTCACTTTGTCTTTGTTTGCTGGATTCCCTTTTTGCCATACCTGCACCTCTTGGAAAACATGGGTCTGGTGATGACTGTCAGTCATTTGCCTTTCAGAGTTCTGCCATCCTCAGCTTTGGAGCCCGAAAGTGCTCCTGAAACCCCCACAACATTTGGTTTAGGGGAGACTTTTCTGTTGTCTGAAATCACTGCTTGATGTGGACTTCAGTAGGAGTGTTGGAATGAAAAACATTGAGGTAGCCAGTATTGGAACGCCTGACAAAGGAAAAAAATGGCATCACAAATCAGAACCTCATGATCCAATAAGTATTTAATCATAGCATCTTAAGATTTTCTCAGCTAGAAATCATCTTAACTGTTTTTATTAATGTATAATTTCCATTCCTCAATTTTGAGTTCCCTAAGTTAATTTGAAAATTCTCTTCAATATTCTTCTTATTTTAAATGTGTGGCATTGATTTATTACGTAGTTATTGGATTAAAACCAGTAAGAGTAGGAAAAACGTAAAGACACATTCAAATATTAAAATCAGAGTCAAAGAAGTTAGGCAGGTGAGTTTTTGGCATCTCTTAATAAAGCTATTATGTAAACGCAGCATCATTTAACATTTAATAAAATTTTAATTAAAACAGAGCCAAACATTTTCAGAGAAACCAAGAAATGAAAAAGAAAATCTAATCACCAGTTTACGTTTTATGGGCATAAATGAGTTTTTGCAACCCAATAACCTACTAAAGGTGTTGGCAGTTAGGAAATTATAGCATTAAGTAGATTGTCTAAATGATGAATTATAAGAGAGGGCCTGGAATTGCAGAGGGAGGGCCAAGAGTGAGTGCCGTTGATAACAGAGAAACAACAGATTAAATAAACTAATGGAGGGAGCTGTTGTGCTTACTGTTCTAATCTTTGAAACAACTGTGAATAAGCTTTATCATTTCAAGACAATAAGATAATAGAATAACTTTGCACAGCTTCCCTCCAGGCTAATTTTGATAAATGCAGATTAAAGTCACAAATCAAAAAACTAACAATGTTTCATTCTGGCAGCCCTTGGCAGGTTTGCTGAATATTAGGGCCCAGCTCTGGAGCTTGGCACAATTACCAAAGATGTCTCAGCTAGATGAGCAGGGAATGCCTTAGACAGAAGGAGGCAGAGCATTCTAGAAAGTTCAGGGAAGCATGTGCACTGTCTGGTTTTCACACACTGAACGCATAAAAGGAAAACACTTTGTTTATGCTTGCTTTAAATATCCTATTTTTAAATGACCCTTATTTTTATTACTGGTTGGTCAAAAGAAAATAATGTTGTATGGACGGTCTTATAATAACAGATTTGTGTAAGATGCTGCTCTTGAGCAGGATAGGGAATCTGGAATACAAAATTACCACCCTCCTGGAAGAGTAGAGAAAGATTTTTTTTTTGTCCTATGAAATATAACATCTGTAACTTCTATATATTTAAGTTCAAATCTTAGTAGAGTTTGTCCTCTTGCTTTTTTTCATAGCCTCAATCTTATACCTGTAAACCATTTTCAGATGATGCTTTTTTTTTTTTTTTTTTTGAGATGAAGTCTTGCTCTGTCGCCAGGCTGGAGTGCAGTGGTGTGTTCTCAGCTGACTGCAACCTCTGCCTCCCAGGTTCAAGCAATTTTCCTGCCTCAGCCTCCTGAGTAGCTAGAAGTATCAGTGTGCACCACCATGCCCAGCTAATTTTTATATTTTTAGTACAGACGGGGTTTCACCATATTGGCCAGGATGGTCTCGATCATTTGACCTTGCCTTGATCTCTCTGCGTGCCTCAATCTCTCTGCCTGTCTCAGCCTTGCAAAGTGCTGGAATTACGGGCGTGAGCCACCACGCCTAGCCCAGATGATGCTTTTCTTTAAAAAGGTCTTTTTCTCCAAAAAGCCCTGCTGTCTTTACCTATATAAGTTAGACTTTATCAGTAAACTCTAGAATCACTGATAATTTTTGCTCCCACATTGACCAGCTATGGAAGGAAATTGGTAAATTATGTTTGTTTGCTTGTTTTTTGAGACAGAGTCTCACTTTGTCACCCAAGCTGGAGTCCAGTGGCACAATCTCGGCTCAATGCAACCTCCATCTCCTGGGTTCAAGTGATTGTCCTGCCTCAGCCTCCCAAGTAGCTGGGATTACAGGCACGCACCACCACACTCGGCTAATTTTTGTTTTTAGTAGAGTCGGATTTCACCATGTTTGCCAGGCTGGTCTCAAACTCCTGACCTCAGGTGATCCGCCTGCCTCGGCCTCCCAAAGTGCTGGGATTATAGGCATAAGCCACCACTCCTGACCCAAAAACAGGTGAAGAAACTGGTAAACTCTAACACCATTTTATTTTATTTTATTTTTATTATTATTTTTTTTTTGAGACGGAGTTTCGCTCTTGTTACCCAGGCTGGAGTGCAATGGCGCGATCTCGGCTCACCGCAACCTCCGCCTCCTGGGTTCAGGCAATTCTCCTGCCTCAGCCTCCTGAGTAGCTGGGATTACACGCACGCGCCACCATGCCCAGCTAATTTTTTGTAGCTTTAGTAGAGACGGGGTTTCACCGTGTTGACCAGGATGGTCTTGATCTCTTGACCTCGTGATCCACCCGCCTCGGCCTCCCAAAGTGCTGGGATTACAGGCGTGAGCCACCGCGCCCGGCTCTAACACCATTTTAAAATAAATTTCCCTCTCTTGGGCATTTAGAGATAAGCCTGATCCATACCTAGGGACATGTTCTCACCCTTGGCTTTTGACTCATTCCTGGGTTGGAGTTTCATTTAATTACTTCCTTTTCTTTTCTTTTTTTTTTTTTTTTTTTTTTTTTTTTGATTCAGTCTTGCTCTGTTGCCCAGGCTGGAATGCAGTGGTGCAATCGTGGCTGACTGCAGCCTCTGCCCCCCTGAGTTCCAGTGATTCTCCTGCTTCAGCCTCCTGGGTAGCTGGGATTATAGGCATATGCCACCATGCCCAGCTAATTTTTGTATTTTTAGTAGAGACAGGGTTTTGCCATGTTGAACAGGCTGGTCTTGAACTCCTGATGTCAGGTGATCTGCCCACCCAGGCCTCCCAAAGTGCTGGGATTACAGGAGTGAGCCACCATGCCCAGCCCATTTCTTGCTTTCCTTTTGGCTCCTTACAAAGCTCTCTCAGCTACGTGAGCAGGAACTCTTTGGATATAAGGATTCTTGTGTGATCCAGCCCGGCTGATGTGACATCTGTGTGGTGCCCCCAGACATGAGCTAGCAGTGGCGTTCCTTGCTGAGGGTTCTCTGCGGTGCTGTAGCCGGGACAGAGTCTAAGCTTGGCTGGACCTTAACATCTGCTGTGCATGTTGTTGTCATCCAGTTTGACTGACTTCTCTTACATCCCTCTCTACCCAATCTTGGGGGGAACAGGTGGCCTGATGAACTCTTGGAAACGCCGCTGGTGTGTCCTCAAGGACGAAACCTTCTTGTGGTTCCGCTCCAAGCAGGAGGCCCTGAAGCAAGGCTGGCTCCACAAAAAAGGTGGGGGCTCCTCCACGCTATCCAGGAGAAACTGGAAGAAGCGCTGGTTTGTCCTCCGCCAGTCCAAGCTGATGTATTTTGAAAACGACAGCGAGGAGAAGCTCAAGGGCACTGTCCAAGTGCGAACGGCAAAGTAGGTTGCTAAGCCAGGCCGTGGCCCCGGCGAGTTGCTTGATGGTTTATGCTGGTGTGATGTCACAGAGCCACGCTGTGCAGGTTCCTTACAGCGGCAGGAGCCTGTAGTAGGTGTCCTGATGATTCAGTTCAGTGTGTGCAGGAAGAATGGTGTGAATCTGGAACAAGTGGCTGAGTCTTTTTATGGCTTAATGTACTTTCCATTCCTTACTCCCGCTGTAGCCAACGGATAAATTAGCTAAATCGAAAGCAGACAGACTGGAGGAGTTTTCTGAAATGAATGGCTTGCAATTATACCAGTGTGGGCTATGCTAGCCATCCCCATTCCCAGCAATGAGAGGAACAGAGCTGTCCTTGGAATCCAACACACCCCTTTTTCTGCCACCCGCTTACAGAACCAAAGCTTTGGACTATTGAGGGCCTATTATTTTTGTTAAAGACTAAGTAATGTTTCCTGAAAATTGTTGGGAGTTACAGGCAGCTGGTTTTCTCGGGTAACTAGATACTAAGCCTGAAAACTTGTTTGGGGGTAACCTGTAGCCATACTCCACTCAAAACTGAGGGACCTCAAATGTTTAGTAGAAGAAGCTTTGAGGAATCAAATTAATGCCTGAAGTCAGGAGCCTTAAGTAATCAGCCAGCACCAGTAACTTCAGAAAAGTATTCATTGTAAAGTGGAAAGTTAAATGAGGAGAGAACAGTCTTTTATGTATTTGATTTTAAGGGCAAAGCTCAGGTGTCTGCAGATGGCAGAATACTGGACATTTCCAGGCTGTCCCTTTGGAGTTCGTGAGGTGCAGGGGTGGGCTGGTGAAAATTCTGGGTCCGAATCCTGCCACAGCAAATGCTCACAGCAAGGCACGGCTCTGTTGCCTCCACCGTCTTCCCTCAGCCTCACATACCATGATGTTCCTCATCTGTCTGTCAGGCGATTGACTGATTGATTGACAGAGGATCTCATTCCCATTTCCAAGGCTGGAGTGCAGTGGCATGATCTTGGCTCACTGCAGCCTCAACTTCCTGGGCTCAGGTGATCCTCCCGTCTCAGCCTCCCTAGTAGTTGGGACTACAGGCGCCCACCATCACGCCAGGCTAATTTTTTATATTATTAATAGAGACAGGGTTTCACCATGTTGCCCAGGCTGGTCTCAAACTCATAGACTCAAAGCCATCCACCTACCTTGGTCTCCGGAAGTGCTGGGATTACGGCCATGATGTTTCTCTTTAATTATCCCGTAGAAGGGGCCACAAGCACCAGGAGGCTGTGAGAGAGGTAGGCATGGTGTTGAGTTTCAGCAGAGTACACTGATGGATGCTTCTTCTGCAACTTGCTTTGTATGCTGCTTCATAAAAGCTCTATTCTCAGGTGCTTCATCAAAATTACACTGAGTTATGGAAATGTTAGCTCTTACTCAGCCATTTCTGTCACCTCCTATAGAACAGGAACAGTGAATTATTATTATGGAAAACTTCAATCATGCAAGAGTGGGTAGAAGAATGTAACAAAACATGGGCTCATTCCAGAGCTTTCAGTGGCTGTCCACCGTGGCCAAGAGTGTTTCATCCATGGTTCTACCAGTCCACTTCCCAACAAACTACCTTCTTTTACAGCAAGTCCCTGTCATGTAATTTCTTCTGTAAATATTTAGTATGCATTTGAAGATTCTAATATATAATCACAGTACCAAAAAATAATATTAGCTCCTAATATTATCCAAACTCTAGTAATTGTTTAGATTTCTGCAATGGCCTTATTTATTTATTTATTTATTTATTTGAGACTGAGTCTCTCTCTCTTGCCCAGGCTGGAGTGCAGTGACACAATCTCGGCTCACTGCAACCTCTGCCTCCTGGGTTCAAGCGATACTCCCACCTCAGCCTCCCGAGTAGCTGGGATTTCAGGGCTGAGTCACCACGTTTGGCTAATTTTGTATTTTTAGTAGAGCTGGAGTTTCACCATGTTGGCCAGGCTGGTCTCGAACTCCTGACCTCAAGTGATCCGCCTGCCTTGGCCTCCCAAAGTGCTGGGATTACAGGTGTGAGCTACCTTGCCCGGCCCTCATCTTGGTTTTTTTAAAAAATATTTTATCTGAGTGATTCTAGCTATGAGGTCAGATAATACTTTTTTTTTTTCTAACCAATCAGAATGTTTCACAGTTTTGACCCTTGTTGTAAAATACATGTTTTGTGAACATTTTTATTTCTTTAGTTATCAGAGAAAGCTGGCTTTATGCCCCAAACCCTTCTTCATCAAACGTATTACCTGTTCTATCTCTGGTCTGATCCTAACATCTGCTGCTGTTTTACCGTGATTTTGTTAACCTGGTTCACCAATTTTATTCCTCTAATGCTGTTTAGGGAGGGTTGCAGGTGAGATCAAGATGGTATTGAGAACGAGACACACCTGCATCCTGAACCTCACCGCCCCCAGCACCCCTCATGGAAATAATGTGCACATTTCAGGCAGAAGTCAGACGCAACAGCCATGGCCTTAAGCTGGGGGCTGTGATGAATTAGGGAAAGGGCTGACACCGGGCCAGGCTGGCTTTTGTAGATTTGAGAAAGGAGCCAGAGGAAGTTGCAGGCAGGAGTGGGGGCTGCTGCCCCGGGCCTGTCTGGGGCCTGAGCGCAGGGGTGGGCATTGGGTGGGCCAGTGTGAGGGGGAGAGAGCCCCTTCCTAGAGAAGTCTGCTATCCCTGGCCGCAGCCTCTTCCCTGGGCAGCAGAGAGGAGCCTGGCTCCCCCGAGAGGGAATGTTCATCATTGCTAAAAGGAAAAAAACTTTAGGTCCCTCCAAGTCTTTTGATGATGAGCTCCAGAACTGCCACCCCACTGCAGCCACCAAAATCCTCAGATGCCTGAGTCCCTGCTATAAAATGATATCATGTAACCTATGCATATTCTCCCATATACTTCAGATCTTCTCTAGATGACTTCTAATACCCAATATGATGCAAATGCATTGTAAATAGTGGTTACCCTGTATTGTTTTTAAATTCATAGTATTATTTTTTTATTGGAGTTTTATTTTTGATCTGCTGCTAGTTGTATCCACAGATGCTGAACTCGCAGATACGGAGGGCCAACTATGTACCGTTTCTTCAGTAGCAGACAGTTCCAATGCTAGTCATTGGTTTCATGAAATTGCTTCCCTCGGTTATTCAGAATTTGGTATTCCTGATGTGCTGCTTTTGCTCCTTTGCAGAGAGATCATAGATAACACCACCAAGGAGAATGGGATCGACATCATTATGGCCGATAGGACTTTCCACCTGATTGCAGAGTCCCCAGAAGACGCCAGGTGAGTCTGCGCTGTCGACTTGGTGTTACCCACCTCCTGATACCCTCGTGCACAGGTGTGAGCATCACAAAGAGCTCTGTTTACCATACTGGCCTTGAAAAATTTTAATTAATTTTCTATTAGGATGGTTGAGGAACCAAGAGTCATAAGAGATTCATGTACTTGTCCCTTGAGGAATCTTTCCCTGGGCAGATGTGTTCACTTACAGCACAGGGTTCAGGATTTCTAGGCTCCAATGCCACTAGACGGACCCATTGTCATCTGATTCAGGCTGTCACTGTCACTGGTAGCATGTGTAAATTACACAGCTGCGTGAAGCTGAAGGCCGGCCCTGTGGAAGCTTCTGAGCTTTGAAAGTGAATCATTTGTGTTTGCATGAGGACCAAAAGGGCAGGGAGCAGTAACTGATGGGTGTCTAACTAAGTGATAGTGCTATGGCATTGGGAGGGTTTTAAAGACGCTAATATTGAAGAATTCAGTGGAAGAGATACTCACTTACACAGAACTTACTATTAGGTTGGTGCAAAAGTAATCCCCATTCTATTTGAGGTTAATATTCTAAATGTTTCATTATTACCTACATATTTCAGGCAGTATTCTAAATGTTTCACAAATAATTAACTCTTTTGATTCACTCTTTTGATTTTTCTTTTTTTTTTTTTTTTTTTTTTTCTGAGGCAGTCTCCCTCTGTCACCAGGCTGGAGTGCAGTGGCGCAGTCTCAGCTCACTGCAACCTCCGTCTCCTGGGTTCAAGTGATTGTTCTGCCTCAGCCTCCCAAGTACCTGGGACTAAGGTGTGCGCCACCATGCCCAGCTAATTTTTGCATTTTTAGTAGAGACAGGGTTTTACCATGTTGGCCCTAATGGTCTTGATTTCTTGACCTTGTGATCTGCCCACCTCGGCCTCTCAAAGTGCTGGGATTACAGGCGTGAGCCACCTCCTAGCCAGCTTTTATTTTTTTTTTTTTTTTTTTTTTTGGAGACAGAGTCTCACTTTGTCACCCAGGCTGGAGTGCAGTGGCGTGATCTCAGCTCGCTGCAACCTCTACCTCCTGAGTTCAAGCAATTCTCCTGCCTCAGCCTCCTAAGTAGCTGGGTATACAGGCATGTACCACCATGCCCAACTAATTTTTGTATTTTTAGTAGAGATGGGGTTTCACCATGTTGGCCAGGCTGGTCTTGAACTCCTGACCTCATGATCAGGACCTCCTACCTCGGCCTCCCAAAGTGCTGGGATTACAGGTGTGAGCATCGCGCCCAGAGCTTGATTATTTTGAATCCTGCAAGGTAGATGTTAATGATTGCCATCATCCATATTTTGCAGATGAGGAGACTGGGGTACAGAGAAAGGACAGTATCATTTGCAATGCAGTGCAGCCTCAATTCTGCTGAATGGAGACATTAAACTTCTTAAGAACATTTCTTCCTAAGAGCTTTAACTTTTGACTGACATTAGAGGAGGGTGGAGTCCTTCATTGGCTGGGGCAAGTTGTCTTTAACTTCTTGGACTTCAGGTTTCCATGTTGGAGTGCTGAGGAGACATAGCACAAAATTAAGGAGACTTAGCATTTGCTTTTCAGGGTGATGCATCACATGGTCCCCTAGCGGATCTGACACAGTGGAGCGTCTGTCCTGTCTGTTCCTGCAGCTTTGTGGTCTGCAGGGTTGTGTTGGGGGTGTCTGTCATCTGCTACGAGCAATGCTAGAGAACGCCTTTTCATTTATGAGGGTAACATCCAACAGCCTAATTCTTCAGTCCTCAGCCTCAAGATCGTTAGGACCTTCTAGTGTTCTCAGGACCTCTTGCTACCCCTTGCCCTTTGAATGTTTCTAAGATGATACAACACCATGGTAGCATCATTAAAGGGAAAGACACCAGAAAATAATTCTTCCCATGGGAACAAACTAAAACCCTGCTTAGACCCATAAATTCTAAAAAAACTGGAAAAACAAGTAGACCTGGAATTACAGCGATCATTCCGTCTGCGACTCCTAGAGACCACGTGTGGTTGTTTGTGGCGCAGGGAATGCCTGCAGCTTTTCAGCTGAATTACAGGCCCGGCGTTTGGCAGCTGCCGTGTCTGTTTTATGCCATGATGAACCTGCTAAATTTAACCTTTGGAATATTTTAGCCAAGGACTTTTTCTCCTGACCAGTGGAACACTTTGTTTTTTTTTTTTTTTTTTAATTCCTTTTCAGATTCCAAGTTATACTTGATTCAAGAGAAGAAATTTATAAGTTTAAGAGTATAATCTAGACAGAATTGAAAGTGCAACAAATTGTATGCCTTTGTGTATGTAATTACTACAACTTGAATGTATGTCTTTTTCAGTGTTTAATTTGGGATATTTTTGAGCTTAGCAAAGCAGTGACGTCTTGCTGTTTGGTTAACCAGAATGGATAGGGCAGAGTTATATTCAAGTATTGCCTTTGTTGTCTACAAGATGTATATGCATATCTGTTGTATGTGTTGAATATTCTCAAGCTTATAGTCACATTTTTCTCCTTTAGGAAGCACGGGAGGTAGATTAAGTGCTTTGCTGTAAATAATTTGCGCGGCCTACCTTTACATACGGGTGTCATTTTTTCACTTAACTATCCCGTTACATACCGAGTACTCTCCCCTCTGCCTTAAATAGTAGGAGCATTTATATATTTTGTGTCTCATGAGCCCCCGGCAGGAGAAGGATGCCCTGGTGTGTCTCTCATCTTTGGTAGCTCTCACATTTTGTTGAGAGTTGGTCAGTAAATGCTGGATGGAAGCATGGCTGTTCATGGTCATTTTCCTGATGCTTCTGGTTATATCATGACTTTGTTCTGCTTGGTTTTCCTTGAGTTGACATGTTTTGTTTCATTTTGTATTTGTTTTTTTGTTTTGTTTTGTTTTTGAGACAGAGTCTCGCTCTGTCGCCCAGGCTAGAGTACAGTGGCACGATCTCGGTTCACTGCAGCCTCTGCCTCCCCGGTTCAGGCAGTTCTCCTGCCTCAGCCTCTCTGAGTAGCTGGGACTACAGGCACGTGCCACCACACCCAGCTAATTTTTTTTTTTTTTTTTTGTATTTTTAGTAGAGACGGGGTTTCACCATGTTAGCCAGGATAGTCTCGATCTAACCTCGTGATCTGCCCACCTCAGCCTCCCAGAGTGCTGGGATTACAGGAGTGAGACACCATGCCTGGCCTGTATTTGTTTTTTTGTAAGACAGAGTCTTGGTCTGTCGCCCAGGCTGGAGTGCAGTGGGATGACCGTGGCTCACTGCAGCCTTGGCCTTCTGGGCTTAAGTGATCCTCCTGCTTCAGCCTCACATGTAGCTGGGATTATAAGCATGCACCACCACACCCAGCTAATTTTTAATTTTTTTTTGTAGAGACTGGGCCTTAGTAAATTTCCCAGGCTGGTCTCAAATTCCTGGGCTCAAGCCATCCTCCCACCTTGGCCTCCCAAAGTGCTGGAATCACAGGCATGAGCCCCAATGCCCAGCCACCTTTTATTTTCTGATTGTGCTGAGGCTGGATGTCAGGTACTCATTTGAAATGAAGATGGAAGAGTTATCTCGTCTAAATAGTTTTCTGCTTTAAGCAGTTATTTTTTATTTCCAGCTCTCCTGTGGTTTTATTGACTTGAGTAGAAATGCTGTTAGGTGGTTGAAATCCCCATCCTGAGAATACGTAGAAAAACTAGACATCTCGTGGCCATTCCAAGATGACACTCTCCCATTACGGGTTGAGTATCCCTTATCCAAAATGTTTGGGGCGGAAAGATTGCAGATTTTGGAGTTTGGAATATTTGCATTAGACTTAACAGTTAAGCATCCTCAATCTGAAAATTCAAGATGTTCCAGTGAGCATTTCCTTTGGGCATCATGGTGGTGTTCAAAAAGTTTTGAGTTTTTAGGCATTTCAGATTTCAGATTTTTTTGGATTATGGTTGCTCAGTCTATATTGATCTTCTCACCTTGAAATTTATTTTTTAAAACAGAAAAATCACCTGACTGTTCCCTAGTTTATAAATAATATCTTAAATAAGGATCCTTGATATAGGTATTTGGTAGAACTCAGGATTTTATTATTTGCTGTTAATTTCTCAAGGAACTCATTCATCATCATCAAATGTCTATAAAGGTCTATGGGACCTGGAGGAAACGGACGTCCATTGACCTAAAGTTAGAACATAACCTAGCACTTAAAGGCATTCACAGGTACTTCATCTGCTTCTTCTAACTTTATTCTTTGGTATTGAAACCCTCATTTACCCGAGAAGTAATCAAAAGCAGAGGTGCTCAGAGATGTCATTTTCACAGAGCACGTGGAGTAGGATGCCATTGCTTTGCCAATACGAGGTTGGCCTCTCCTTGACTGTTGCTGTCTCTTCCCCACAGCCAGTGGTTCAGCGTGCTGAGTCAGGTCCACGCGTCCACAGACCAGGAGATCCAGGAGATGCATGACGAGCAGGCAAACCCACAGAATGCTGTGGTATGGAAGCACTGCCTGGGGTGGGGTGGGGTATCCAGGGGTGGGATGGGGTGAAGTGTCCAGGGGCAGGAACAGGGAGGGCATCAGGATGGCAAAGAAGGGAATTATTGGGAATTTCCAGATAGTAGTCTTTTTCTAAAAGTAAATATATAATAATTAAGGAGAAAAACAGGACCATTTGAGTTTAAAATCGGTACAATAATAAATACAATAAATAGTACAATATCATAGTAATACAATAATAAATACAGTAAATTAAGTTGGGCACTGTGGCTCATGCCTATAATCCCAGCACTTTGGGAAACTGAGGTGAGAGGATCACTTGAGGCCAGGAGTTCAAGACCAGCCTGAGAAACATAGCAAGACAGTGCCTATAAGAAAAAAAATTAGCCGGGCGCGGTGGCTCAAGCCTAATCCCAGCACTTTAGGAGGCAGAGGTGGGTGGATCACGAGGTCAAGAGATCGAGACCATCCTGGTCAACATGGTGAAACCCCGTCTCTACTAAAAATACAAAAAATTAGCTGGGCATGGTGGCGCGTGCCTGTAATCCCAGCTACTCAGGAGGCTGAGGCAGGAGAATTGCCTGAACCCAGGAGGCGGAGGTTGTGGTGAGCCGAGATCGTGCCATTGCACTCCAGCCTGGGTAACATGAGTGAAACTCCGTCTCAAAAAAAAAAAAGAAAAAAAATTAAAAATTAGCCGGACATGGTGTCACGTGCCTGTAGTCCCAGCTACTTGGCAGGCTGAGCCAGGAGGATCGCTTGGGCCTGGGAATTTAAGGCTACAGTGATCTATGATTGCGCCACTATACTCCAGCAGCCTGACCCTGTCTCTTAAAAAAAAAACAACTAATAAATTATAGGTTATACAGTAATACATTCCAATTCTCCCATTTCAGACCTTTAAAAGAACAAAATAAATAATCCTACTTTTAATGAAGGCACAGAAGCCACATTACACTTACTCTTCAAAGGACTTGGTGAAGTCTAAATTGTATTCTTGTTTTTTTGAGATGGAGTCTTGCTCTGTCACCCAGGCTGGAGTGCAGTGACGTGATCTGCAGCTCCTGAATTCAAGCAATTCTGCCTCAGCCTCTCGAGTAGCTGGGACTACAGGCTCATGCCGCCATGCTTGACTAATTTTTTGTGTTTTAGTAGAAACAGAGTTTCACCCTCTTGCCCAGGCTGGTCTTAAACTCCTGAGCTCAGTCAATCTACCTGCCTTGGCCTCCCAAAGTGCTGGGATTACAGGTGTGAGCCACCACGCCTGGCCAAAATCTAAATTGTATTCTTTGTCTTTCCTCTATCTCAGACGTATACACAAAGCTACAAAACCCTACTTTGGAAGTAAAGTTTTATTTCCTCATCAGAAAAACTTGAAATAAAGTTTCTTAGGAGAAGAAGTGTAAAATTTAATCAAAGGACAAAATATAATCAGGAAATCTATACTCTTAAAAGGTCATAAACACTGTTCACCGAACGTATTTTAAGAACAAGAAGGAGCAGGCGCCGTGGCTCAGGCCTGAAATCCCAATACTTTGGGAAGCCACGGCGGGTGGATCACTTGAGGCCAGGAGTTTGAGACCAGCCTCGCCAACATAGTCAGACCCCATCTCTACTAAAAATACAAAATTAGCTAGGTGTGGTGGCCCGCACCTGTAGTCCCAGCTACTTGGGAGGCCAAGGCACGAGAATCACTTGAACCTGGGAGGCAGACATTGCAGTGAGCCAAGATCACTCCACTGCACTCAGTCTGGGTGACAGAGTGAGACTCTTCAAAACCAACAAATTAAACTAAAATAGAGATACTTGTAGCAAATTTAGTAAAATATTAATTTTTAAAAAAGAAATTATTGAAAGGGCAAGAGGAAATGGTTAACTATAATTTTTTAAATAAATGAGCTATATGCCCTGTGTAGAGGCTATTTGTGCTCACACAACAGAGGAGTTATCTCATAGATAACTATTATTTTGAAGTGAAAAAGAAAAGAACCTTTTCTGACTGGGAGTTGTAGGCTAGAGGTGTTACTATAGTGTGCACCATACGTTAGTGGTTCTCTCATTTTCTTTATTTTTTTTGTTCCTTTCCAGGGCACCTTGGATGTGGGGCTCATTGATTCTGTGTGCGCCTCTGACAGCCCTGACAGGTAAGCTCAGATGCGGCTCTTCACAAAAACAGCTCATCACCTGTGTGTGTCCACAGGTGTCTGTGCTGCTCCGTCACTTCCCTCTTCACGGGGCTGTGAAATCACACAAGATTGTGTGTTCCCACCTTGTCAACCCCAGCAATCCAAAGTCTTCCTTCATGCTACCCAGTTTTACATCATCCGGAAGTTTCCTTCTCTGGGTATCTTTGAAGTTTTGGGGAAAACCTTGGGATCCTAATTTAGACAACTTTTAAAAAGCATGAGGAATATTTTTAATATTCCTGGATATTAAAAATATTAGGGATATTGGATACAGGGACAAACTTGGGATTTATACAGGAAGAAAATGCCTGTTTAGGAAAATGACATTCTAGTAAAGGGGAAGGGAGCCGTTCTTGCTGAGCTTAACGATGAACTTCAGAAGGATTTTGATGATAATGTATACGTAGGGTATTAATAAACCACAAGCATTTATTTTCCTTGATATTTCTTCTTTCTTGGCACCCTTTTTGGTTTTGATTTTTGAAGGCGAATCGTCATTGGAGACGGTCTTAGGCGTCCTTGTGCCCAGTGAACTTTATCTGTGTGGTCTCTGTGTTTCTGTATTATCTTGTAAGTTCTACTTCTGGCCGGCAGCAGAATTTAAGAAAAGTTTCTCTAGTACGGACCAGAGAAAGAATCCAAATTCACTTCTGTCCTCAGTAAGACAGCCGGAAAGTGCATATGAGTGTGTTAAAGTTGACAACAAAATATAGTGCCTGCTTGGCAGAATTAGAGTGGTGGGGTCTCTGTCACCCTCCCACTGACAGGGCCCTTCTGAACCAGGGGTCCTTTGTTTTCGGTAGTCAGCCTGCACCTCCTTACACCTGGCTCAGCAATCTTTTACTCGTGTGTGTCATATCAGTAATCAAAGCCGCCTTCTTCTTTCTTCCTCCCCCTCCCCCTACCCCTCCTCCTCCTCCTCCTTTCTTTCTTTCTTTATTTCTTTCTTTCTTTCTCTTTCTTCTTTCTTCTTCTTCCTTCTTCTTCTTTCTTCTTCTTCCTCCTCCTTCCTTCTTCTTCTTCGTCCTCCTTCTTCCTTCCTCCTCCTCCTCCTCCTTCCTCTTTCTTCTTCCTTCTTCTTCTTTCTTCTCTTTCTCCTTTACCTTCTCCACACCTTCGCTTTCCCAAGCCCTTCACTCTTCCAGGCCGGACATGTGATGATCCATGCTTAGAACTTTGCATCCTCATTAACTTTTCTCTCTTCCTCAACTGCCCACTCTTTGTTTCCAACTTTAGAAAAAATTTTTTTTTAATTTTTAAGGGGGACCTCAAGTTAAGCCTGTTGGCATAGCTTTCCCGGTGTCCTGCAGTCCAGTTCCTCTTCTTTTTGTTTTTTTTGAGACGGAGTTTCACTCTTGTGCCCAGGCTACAGTGCCCAGGCTATGGCGCAATCTTGGCTCACCACAACCTCTGCCTCTCGGGCGCAAGCAATTCTTCTGCCTCAGCCTCCTGAGTAGCTAGGATTACAGCGATACACCACCACGCCTGGCTAATTTTGTATTTTAAGTAGAGATGGGGATTCTCCATGTTGGTCAGGGTGATCTCAAACTCCTGACCTCAGGTGATCTGCCCACCTTGGCCTCCCAAAGTGCTGGGATTACAGGTGTGAGCCACAGCGTCCAGCCATTATTTTTCTTTTTCTCGAATTTTGTGTCACCTAACTACAGTGAACACTTGAAGACTTGCAAGAAAGAGTTCACATTCACTAGCTTAAGCTGTTAGATAGAGGAGTTAGTATTAATATTAGCAAGGGCCTATGAGAGAGGTTCAGGGCATTTACAGACAAAAAGAGGTGAGGGAGAAAGTAAATTTCCATTATCACGTTATCCATGACTGGGAAGTGCACCCTTGGTCAGATGACTTTGAAAACACGGACCCAGGAGGCTTTTTGTACAAAGCATAATCAAGTATTTAAGATGCTCCACCTGCAGCTATTTACTGATCCTGTTTTATTGCTGGTGTCTGACATTTCATTACCAACCCACAGAAATATTACCCATGGCAGGAAGAAATTGACTTTGGAGAGGCATCAAAAAAAAATTTTCCCTCACAGTCACCTTATTTAGCCTTCCCGGAACTGAGTTTCATCTGGAAAGTTTTGCATCAAGAGATGTTTTCCCTTCCAGGACCTTCAGAATGAATGTGTTGCTCCAAGTTTAAAGGTTAATGATGCGTAAAAGAAATTCTGCAGAAATGAGCAAGGTTTGCCTTCATAAAAACACAAATAATCCAGCTGTGTATATCCCGTGACCCAACGCCGGGAAGAAGGCATTGAGTCCTGGCTCACACAGAGGTGATGCTGACGGTAGAGCTAAGAGGCTTTGTTTCCTTCTCACCTTGTCTGTCAGGCCCAACTCATTTGTGATCATCACGGCCAACCGGGTGCTGCACTGCAACGCCGACACACCGGAGGAGATGCACCATTGGATTACCTTGCTGCAGCGGTCCAAAGGCGACACCAGAGTGGAGGGCCAGGAATTCATCGTGAGAGGTGACTGCCTCCCCCGCTTGCTCGTCTGTTTCACACTCCCGTTTTCATTTGCATATAGACATCTGCAGCATTTCCATTTTGAGCTGCCTTTCCCAGTCCTTTGGACTGTTGGAGATTTGTTAAAATGAGTTTTAACTTGTGGTATTATAAAAGCGCTTCCAGAGGATCATGTTTTGATTTTTGTTGCTAGTTATTTTGTGTGTGTGTGTGTGTGTGTGTGTGTGTGTGTGTGTGTGTGTTTCATGTAGTTGTTATATTCACATCAGGTTGGGGTGATCATGGTCTTTTTCTGCCAAATAGGTAGAAACCCCACCCATCTGGTAGCATTATGCAGATGATTGTGTGATCTTTGGGGTTTCCCCTCATAGATTTTAATTTACACTTGAATGTTTTTTTCCAGGATGGTTGCACAAAGAGGTGAAGAACAGTCCAAAGATGTCTTCACTGAAACTGAAGAAACGGTGGTTTGTACTCACCCACAATTCCCTGGATTACTACAAGAGCTCAGAGAAGAATGCACTGAAACTGGGGACCCTGGTCCTCAACAGCCTCTGCTCCGTCGTCCCCCCGGATGAGAAGATATTCAAAGAGACAGGTAACCAGGCTGGCTGCCTGTGACTGGCTGGGCCCGAACCCTGAGGATCAAATCTTAAAGTCTGGGCTTGCTCCAGGCAAAGGAATAAGATTCCTTCCAAGTGTGTACTTTATTTCCCCTCAAAGACGTGGTCTTCTTGGTTTATCTTCTAAGCCTGTTTGGGGTTATGACCACTTAGTGTTTAAGCCATACTAGAGGTCTTGATTCCTGGACTCTCGCGAGGACAAGAACATGTCAACAGATGCAGGGCATTGTGCAGGAAGCTTTGTTTTTATATGCTCTGTTTTCATCCTTTTATTTTTGATTTATTCTTATTTTTGAGACAAGGTCTCACACTGTTGCCCAGGCTGGAGCGCAGTGGCGCGATCATGGCTCACTACAGCCTTGACTTCCAGGGTTCAAGCGATCCTCCCAACTCAGCCTCCTGAGGAGTTGCTGGGTCTACAGGCACGTACCATCACACCGGGCTAATTTTTATACTTTTTGATGGAGATGGAGTTTTGCCATGTGGGCCAGGCTGCTTTCCGTCATTGTATGATGAGCATCCTGTGCACCCTGTAAAAGATAAATCCTGTCCGTGAACTCAGCCTAGTAGCATAGCACATGTAGCTTAGAGGGTTTCTTTTCATTTTTTTGTATTACAAAAGTGTTTCCAGAAGATGGCTTGTTTTGATTTTTGTTGCTGGTTGCGATTTTGTGCTTCTGTTTAACGGAGTCGTTCCATTCACATCATGTTTGGGTGGTGGTTCAGACAGCCTGCCTCTGAACTCACACTCTGCCAGGCACAAGTGCCGTCTTCCGAAGGGAGAGGCTAAGGAAGGGAAAGGAAGAAAGAGGAAGTAAGAAGGGAAGTCAGAAATCGGAGGGAGTTTTCACTCCTGTTTCAAGGCCCAGAAAGAGATGCTAACTTACCCTTTTCCCTTCCAGAGCCAGTTACCATGTATCTTTATATATTTAATGATGGGTTTATTGTTCTAATTTTCGTCTCCCCCTGTCAGCTATAAATGCCACTGTGCAAGAGACACTGTCTTTTTCTTCATCCCTGGATACCTAGCGTGGGGCAGGACACCTGTAGGAATTCAGCCAGAGTTTATTGAATAATTAAAGGGACTAAGGTCAGAGAGGACACAGGCATCGCCTCAGTCCCTGAGGTTGGCATTGACATGCGTGTGCTTTGTCCCCTGCCCTTGCAGGCTACTGGAACGTCACTGTGTACGGGCGCAAGCACTGTTACCGGCTGTACACCAAGCTGCTCAACGAGGCCACCCGGTGGTCCAGTGCCATTCAAAATGTGACCGACACCAAGGCCCCGATCGACACCCCCACCCAGCAGCTGATTCAGGACATCAAGGTAAGACAAGACAAGCCCATCAAGGTGGGTGATGACAGCTCAGACTCTACCCTTAGAGCACCAAGACCTCAGCATTAGCGAAGCTCAGCGTTTACTCTGGAATCAAAATTAGTGCTTGGTTGGCCAGCACGGCGGCTCATGCTTGTAATTCCAGCACTTTGGGAGGCCGAGGCAGGTGGATCACTTGGGGTCAGGAGTGTGAGGCCAGCCTGGCCAATATGGTCAAACCCTATCTTTACTAAAAATACAAAAAATTAACCCGGTGTGGTGTTCCTTCTACTTACATATTTTTGAAAAGTTAACTGTAAATAGCCCAAGGCAGCTTCTTCAGGAGGTATCCATAAGAAGGCATTATCGTCGTACAAGCTGCCAGCTCCATTCCTGTTTTTGCCTCTGCAGACCTCCCACTAGGACAGGAGTAGACGTGGAAGGCAGTGACAGGTGACACTGACCCCATGCAGGTCTAGGCTAACGTGTGTGTCTTGGTTGTTAACAAGAAAGTTTAAGTAAATAAAAATTTAAAAATTAAGATATAGGCCGTGCACGGTGGCTCATGCCTGTAGTCCCAGCACTTTGGGAGGCCGACGCAGGTAGATCACCTGAGGTCGGGAGTCTGAGACCAGCCTGACCAACATGGTGTAACGCCACCTCTACTTAAAAACACAAAAATCAGCCAGACGTGGTGGTGCATGCCTATAATCCCAGCTACTCAGGAGGCCGAGGCAGGAGACTTGCTTGAACCTGGGAGGCTGAGGTTGCAGTGAGCTGAGATCATGCCATTGCAACCCAGCCTGGGTGACAGAATGAGAGTCTGTCTCAAAAAAACCCAAAAAACTAGCGCTTGGTTCAGTTTGTGTTTGAGGACCCTGCTTTCAGGAATCTAAATGGGAAATTTTATGCCAAAAATGTTCTGTCTCTAGGGAAGTGTTACATGTTGTCGCTGAGGCACCCAGTCCCACCCGTTGGGCTCTGTGGGCAGGAGGGCGTGGTCTGCAGCGTGCACCTGGGGCTACTTGCTCATGGAGATGTGGTGACCTCCACGGGGGAACACCTGCCTTGCCTCAGGTTCCACCTCAGCCTCAGTTGGGGACCTTCTAGGAGTGACCCACTAGTTCTACTGTCACTGTCCAGTTTCCAGGCCACACAAGTGAATTCCCAAGGAGCCCAGAGTGGCCTAGAACACTTGGCATCCCTTAGGCACTTGCAAACTCCCAGAAGCTCCTGAGTCTCTATAGTAACTGAGCATATTAAATTGTGAATTCCTGTTTATCAGTAAGTGTGGTGGCTCAGGAAATGTATGTGAGATGAGGGAATGAGTGTTTGCGTGGCAGCCCTGGGTGGGGATTATTACTCTCACTTTCCAGAAATGGAACGCGGACGGGGGATGTTCTGGTTGCATTGCACGTAGCTGGGCAATCCCAGGTGCAGAACAAGTTGAGGGAGACTGCCAGCCCTCCACGCAGTCCTGCAGCCAGATTCCCAAGGTGAGGGACAGATGTGGGCTGTGACAGGGAAGATGCTAGAAGGATGGCGAGGCAGGTATTTTACTGATGGATGTTAAAGGAAATGAGCTAACCAAATCCAAGAGGGAACTTAGCTTTTGTGGAGGTGGAGAGGATCTAATCCTTCAGTGGTGGATAATTTTCCACCAAAATCAAACTGGCCTCCTAATTCCAAAGTGATACATTCTCTGAGTATTTGGAACCAGATTCTGACAAGCCAGTTGGGTTTTTGTTTGTTTTTTTGAGACAGTGTCTTGCTTATCACCCAGGCTAGAGTGCAGTGGTGCAATCTCAGCTCACTTCAATCTCCGCCTCCCAGGTTCAAGCAGCTTTCCTACCTCAGCCTCCTGAGTAGCTGGGATTACAGGCACTCACCACTATGCCCAGCCAAGGCAGGTGGCTCACCTGAGGTCAGGAGTTCGAGACCAGGCTGGCCAACATGGTGGAACCACGTCTCTACTAAAAATACAAGTTAGCTGGGTGTGGTGGCGGGTGTCCGTAATCCCAGCTACTCCACAGGCTGAGGCAGGAGAATTGCTTGAAGCCAGAAGGCAGAGGTTGCAGTGAGCTGAAATCATGCCATTGCACTCCAGCCTGGGCAACAAGAGCGAAATTCTGTCTCCAAGAAAGAAAAAGTAAATATGAGTTTTCAAATATGAAGCCGTGCTTCTTAAGAAATGAGTCAAATGACCCTAAACCAGTCCATATGAATTATTTAAGTAATTAAAACAATTTTTTTTTGGCCTTCAATTGGGTATTATTGAAAAAGTTTTATAGTGGAAATGAAATTCCCATGATAGAATGATTCATTACCTCTTCTCCAGCTTTTCTGTTGATTTAAGGTTCTAAAAGTAACTTTGGTTTTTTCATATCCTAGAGGAACATTTTAGGAGCATAAGTACATGGTGATGAAATTCTGTGAGAGACTCTCTTACATTTCAAGGTGGAACAGTGGGCAGGCATGTGGAAGGACAGTCTCCCCAAGAATATATTAACGTCTGTAGTTTTCAGGTGTAGAGAGAATAGAAAACATCAATTAAAGAGCTAGCAAATGTGTTAATAAAACAAACTACAGGCCAGGCGCTGGCTCACGCCTGTAATCCGAGCACTTTGGGAAGCCGAGGCAGGCGGATCACGAGGTCAGGAGTTCAAGAACATCCTGTCCAACATAGTAAAACCCTGTCTCACTACAAATACAAAAAAAAAAAATTAGCCATGGTGGCGGGTGACTATAGTCCCAGCTACTCAGGAGGCTGAGGCAGGAGAATCGCTTGAACCCGGGAGGTGTGGGTTGCAGTGAGCGGAGATCACACCACTGCACTCCAATTAAAAAAAAAAAAAAAAAAAAAAAAAAGAAACTATAGATAAAAATAACCTGATTTGGCTACTAATGCCTAAATCAATAACAGAAGTTCAGATTAATTTTTTAATTTCACTTATTTTTTGTAGTATTTTCTGTAGAGACGGGGCCTCACTATGTTGCCCAGGCTGGTCTCAAACTCCTGGGCCCCAAGTGATCCTCCCGCCTTGGACTCTCAAAATGCACAGACGTGAGCCACCATGCCCAGCCTAGATTAAACTTTTTAAGTGTATGTAATCTCCAGGGGAGAAAATTTCAAATCACATGGGGAAGTACATGCATGAGACACTAAGAGAATGAGCCGTAGAATGAATTTTTGTGGCTTCTCTCTTCACACGCAGATGATGGGTATCTTCGTGCGCGAAACCACCTAACACTGGATTTCCACCATTTTGCCCCACTAGGTTTACGGATATTTGAAACTCTTAAAAAATATTTATATGTAGGAAAATACAGTTGATTTTGTTCCTTCAGGTACAGGTTTCTTAGAATAAGCTTGCTTGCTTTCTTTTCTAGGAGAACTGCCTGAACTCAGACGTGGTGGAACAGATTTACAAGCGGAACCCCATCCTCCGATACACCCACCACCCCCTGCACTCGCCTCTCCTACCCCTTCCTTACGGGGACATAAATCTCAACTGTAAGTCCAGATTCCACCCCGAGTCCTCAGAGACCACGATTCCACTTGCCCTGTTAACTCTTTTTGGCTTAACACAGTAACATTTGTTTTGAGCTCAAAGAGACTCTTATTCATCATGAATTAGAAAGAAAAGATGAAATATAATTAGATTCATTACTAAAGCAGGACTTCTAGAGTGTGGTTGTAGTAATGCTAAGATTGATTGCTGTAGTAAAAAGATTTGAAGAAGTCAGACAATGCCAGCTCTCTCCCCATGAACTGAGAGTAGCCCATTTTTTTTTTTTTTTTTTTTTTTTGAGACAGAGTCTTACTCTGTCACCCAGGCTGGGGTGCAGTGGTGCAATCTCTGCTCACTGCAACCTCTGCCTCCCCGGTTCAGGTCGTTCTCATGCCTCAGCCTCCCAAGTGGCTAGGATTATAGGTGTGTGCCACCATATCCAGCTAATTTTTGTATTTTTGATAGAGACAGGGTTTTGCCATATTGCCCAGGCTGGTCTTGAACTTCTGGCCTTAAATGATCTGTCCACCTCGGCCTCCCAAAGTGCTGAGATTACAGGTGTGAGCCATTGCACCTGGCCCAGAGTAGCCAGACAACCAGATCCTGAGTAATTTTGCATTCCAAAAAAGGGTTTTGTTTGGCAACAGGTTACCTTTTAAGTTAGCATTGTATATAGTAAGAAGTTCAATTAGATAACAAAACAGTGTTAAGTTACCCACCTCTGTGCTTTTAGATCTGTGTTCTGCTGATGGAGATGTATACGGAGTGTCATGGGCACTTCACTCCGTTTATTCCTTTGTCTTGACTACTGCTCCGATTATGCCCATGCCCGTTTCTGAACCCCTCAGGTGACTTCTGTGTTTGTTTTGCTTGTCCTAGTGCTCAAAGACAAAGGCTATACCACCCTTCAGGATGAAGCCATCAAGATATTCAATTCCCTGCAGCAGCTGGAGTCCATGTCTGACCCTATTCCAATAATCCAGGGCATCCTGCAGACAGGGCATGACCTACGACCTCTGCGGGATGAGCTGTACTGCCAGCTCATCAAACAGACCAACAAAGTGCCCCACCCTGGCAGTGTGGGCAACCTGTACAGCTGGCAGATCCTGACGTGCCTGAGCTGCACCTTCCTGCCGAGCCGAGGGATTCTCAAGTATCTCAAGTTCCATCTGAAAAGGTAAAGCACGTGGGCACTGTGAGCTGGACAGAGCTGTCCAGCAGATGGGGCACTGGGTCCTCGTTCTGATAAAGAGGCTCTTTAACAGAAGATACCTCCAGTAGGGCAGGGACCTCTGGGTCAGACTCGTGAGTTGCCTGAGCAAGCTTGCAGAATGCAGCCATCCTTTTTCTCTTTAAGCCACACAAGGTTATTTCAGGGACCACATCACTTTTGGTGTAGTGTCCTCAGGTGTAGGACATTGGATCAATTTAATTACCACTACTGTATATTAAAAAAATACCAACTTGGATATTTGTTCCAGATCAGAGGTAGAAACGATCTGATTGGGATTTCGATTCGCTATGGAAAAAGAAGTTTCTTTTCTTTCCTTTTTTTTTTTTTTGAGACCATTTCACTCTTGTTGCCCAGGCTAGAGTACAATGGCACGATCTTGGCTCACTGCAACCTCTGCTTCCTGGGTTCAAGAGATTCTGTTGCATTAGCCTCCCGAGTAGCTGAGATTACAGGCACCCACCACTATACCTGGCTACCTGGCTAACTTTTTGTATTTGCAGTAGAGACAGGGCTTCACCATGTTGGCCAGGCTGGTCTCCAACTCCTGACCTCATGTGATCTGCCCACCTCAGCCTCCCAAAGTGCTGGGATTACAGGCGTGAGCCATGACCCCCAGCCAAGAATTTTTATATGATAATAGGAGGCATGACTCTTCAAGTATTAACAACACTGCAGAAGTGAGCTGGCAGCACAACTGCTCCCAGTGAGACATTCGCTCTTTTAGGGTTTTTTTTTTTTGTATTTAAGTTGAACTGCACAGAATGAAGCAGGCCCTTGCCAGGAAGTCACTGGTGCTTGCTCCATTCACCACTGGGGGACCATTCACTGCTTTGGTCTCAGAACCTGCCACAGCCCAGTTCCCAGCAGCCAGCCCTCTTCAGTCTAAAAATTAACAGTTAGTGTTTGTCTCCTAGGATACGGGAACAGTTTCCAGGAACCGAGATGGAAAAATACGCTCTCTTCACTTACGAATCTCTTAAGAAAACCAAATGCAGAGAGTTTGTGCCTTCGCGAGATGAAATCGAAGCTCTGATCCACAGGCAGGAGATGACATCCACGGTCTATTGCCATGGAGGAGGCTCCTGCAAGATCACCATCAACTCCCACACCACCGCTGGGGAGGTGAGGAGATGTGCTGCTGCAGACGCATCTGGGTCAGGAACGCGGTGCGATGTCAGAGCCGCTGCCCTTCGCAGTAGCAATTTGCTTAGTACATCTGCTCAGTACTAAGGAAATGCATGTAACCCATAAGCAACCACATCAATATAGAGATAAAAACATATATTAAGATGAGTGGAAACAGAGATAAAGTATCTGAGTCACGGTCTTGCTAATCTGAGAAGCAGCTGCGTGTCTAGCAGCGCTGCAGACCTGGCTCAGGTCCACCCATTTTGATGGGGGTTTACTGCAGTGCTTCTGCAGCAGAGAGTTTGTTTGTCACATGGTTAGCTAGATGAATGGCAAATGAACACATTTTCTTTTTTTTAAGACGGGGTTTTACCATGTTGGCCAAGCTGGTCTTGAACTCCTGACTTCGTGATCCACCCACCTCGGCCTCCCAAAGTGCTGGGATTACAGGCATGAGCCACCGCCCCCGGCCACATTTTCTAAGTTTGAACTTACTATTATAAAACCAATTGGCCAAAAAGATAGTACAGTAACCACCCCCAACGCCCCCCCACCTGTGCAGAAAAAAATCATCTGGAGTCTTGGTTGTTCCTTGGAATTCATAAAATTTATCCGCTTGAAGACAGGACTTCAGCTTTTCACCCACTTTTCCTGTTAACAACATAGGTTTGCAAGAAATCAGCCCAGCATCTGCCTGTAATTTTTTTTTTTTTTTTTTTCTTTTTTTAGACAGAGTCTTGCTCTGTTGGCCACGCTGGAGTGCAGTGGTGCGATCTCGGCTCACTGCAACCTCTACCTCCTGGGTTCAAGCAGTTCTCCTGCCTCAGCCTCCCAAGTAGCTGGGATTACAGGCACATGCCAGTATGCCCAGCTAATTTTATATATTTTTAGTAGAGACGGGTTTCACCACATTAGCCAGGATGGTCTCAATCTCCTGACCTCATGATCCACCCGCCTCAGCCTTCCAAAGTTCTGGCATTACAGGTGTGGGCCACTGCGCTTGGCCCATCTGCTTCTATTGTTGGGCAAAATACTCTGAGTTCATTTTGACAAAAAAGAGATAAACCTAATTTCAAGAGATCAAGGCAAAATCGTACTTTGGATTTTCTGGGATGACCTCACGGGTGACATTTTTTAGGAAGCTGCTTGGAGACACCCCTGTGCCAGCAGCTCCCTCTGGGATCAGGTGACGGGCACATTCTGGGACACGTTTTGTGGCTACAGCCTGTGGAGCTGAAAAGTCCCTCTGGTGTGTCTTCCAGGTGGTGGAGAAGCTGATCCGAGGCCTCGCCATGGAGGACAGCAGGAACATGTTTGCCTTATTTGAATACAACGGCCACGTCGACAAAGCCATTGAAAGTCGAACCGTTGTAGCTGATGTCTTAGCAAAGTTTGAAAAGTAAGTTTCTTCTCCCTACTGTATCAGAAGAGCAAATGAGAGGAATTCAGAGCAGGGCTGAAGGTTTGAGCTTCCATTCCATTTCTGGCTTCACGGTTAGTTTTTTTTTACCTGCGTTGATGCCTGTTTAACTTTGCACCTCTGTTAGCTATTTTTCTTGATTCCTAGATAAAGCCATGATCTTACGTGATTTGTCAGTGGTCTTTTACCCCATTCCTTCTCTCAGTTCCATGTTGGACCCATCTGGGAATTTCTTGATTTTTTAGGTTTCTAGTTGTCATTAGCTTTGAAATTGGGCAGATTGACTCAAACCAACTTATAAACTCTTTAACTATGTTTTATATCTATACATAAAATGGACCATGTTTGTTTGTTTTTTGAGACGGAGTCTTGCTCCGTCGCCCAGGCTGAAGTACAGTGGCGCAATCTCAGCTCACTGCAACCTCTGCCTCCTGGGATCAAGCAATTCTCCTGCCTCAATCTCCCGAGTAGCTGGGTTGACAAGCACCCACCACCATGCCCAGCTAATTTTTGTATTTTTAGTAGAGACGGAGTTTCTTCACATTGGCCAGGCTGGACTTGAACTCCTGACCTCAGGTGATCCGCCTGCCCCAGCCTCACAAAGTGCTGGGATTACAGGTGTGAGCCATCACACCCAGCCTATGGACCTACGATACTTGATCTGTGACTTTGCATCCTCTAAGTAGCATGGAAGGTATCCTTGCTTAGTATAAAAACAGCCCTCATACAAGAATATTCACATAAATTTTTATAACTATTCTTCTAATGTGTTTGAGGCTTGGTAAAGGTAATAAAGAAATAGGCTTTTCTTTCTTTTCGTCCTGTGGACTCAGCATAATGCTTAACTAGTACCAACTCGACTGCGGCTCTCGGAAAACACTTGTTAGCTGGTTTAACCAGAGGCTGCCTGTTTGCTTTCTTCAAGCAAAATCAGGATGAAACTATGTTTTTCACTCTGTTTATTCCTCTCTCCTCTTCTCTATCCACTGTTACCTGGGCCTGGACAGAATGTCTGTGTCCTTAGAATACACCATGGAAAGTCAGCTCCCTGCAGGTCACCAGAGGCCCCTCTTGTTCATTTTCTGAGTCTCCCTCGATTGCTCTTTGTAGGCTGGCTGCCTCATCGGAGGTGGGGGACCTGCCATGGAAATTCTACTTCAAACTTTACTGCTTCCTGGACACAGACAACGTGCCAAAAGACAGTGTGGAATTTGCATTTATGTTTGAACAGGTAAAAGGAATAATTAGAAACAGATTTCTTTGCCGGTAAGCAAGGGTGAAACCTGTTAATACTTAATCTTGTAAGTTAACTGGCACTCCTTAGAAATGAGGCACACCTGTAGATTTCTCAGCAAAGACAAGGCCAGCTGCTTTTTCATTTGTAGAATGAAACCTGCTACACATTTTATTTGAATCTCTGTGCCAGAAACTTCTAGTTGACAGGAGAGACCATAAGAATAAAATATATGACATGTGTTAGATGGTGTCTGTGCTAGGGAGAAAATTAAATTTAAAGCAGTGAGGTGGGGATGAGGGTGCAGTTTTAACCAGGGCAGTCAGGGAAGGTGAGTTTGGGAGAAACCCTGATGAAGTAAGGGAGCCAGCCCTGTGGGCGTCCGTGGCACGGCAGTGCCTTGACCAGAAGGACTCTCTCCTTTCAGGCCCATGAGGCGGTTATCCACGGCCACCATCCAGCCCCGGAAGAAAACCTCCAGGTTCTTGCTGCCCTGCGACTCCAGTATCTGCAGGGGGATTATACTCTGCATGCTGCCATCCCACCCCTCGAAGAGGTTTATTCCCTGCAGAGACTCAAGGCCCGCATCAGCCAATCCACCAAAACCTTCACCCCTTGCGAGCGGCTGGAGAAGAGGCGGACGAGCTTCCTGGAGGGGACCCTGCGGCGGAGCTTCCGGACGGGGTCCGTGGTCCGGCAGAAGGTCGAGGAGGAGCAGATGCTGGACATGTGGATTAAGGAAGAAGTCTCGTCTGCTCGAGCCAGCATCATTGACAAGTGGAAGAAATTTCAGGGAATGAACCAGGAACAGGCCATGGCCAAGTACATGGCCTTGATCAAGGAGTGGCCTGGTTATGGGTCGACGCTGTTTGATGTGGAGGTGAGAACGGGCTGCGGTGTGTTGGGGCGGGCGGAGCACCGGCACCTGAGAACATGGATCACAGCCAAGCTCGTGTGGAGAGAAGAGGGAGCACTTTACTCACTCAGCCTCCTTTGTTAGAGCCGTCCAAATTGTACCACGAACACCTCCCTTCTCCTTAAGTTTCCTCCTTTATAGTAAATGCATCCGTGATACTAGGAATGAATGCAAAATTAAGACGTCGTCTATTCTTCTACTACCCTCCCTTAGGGAAGCTATAGGTCTAAGGTTTTAAACGCTGATAAAAATCTACATTAAAATAATGTATAGCTATGTATGCAAATTAGAAACTTTGGATACACTTGCATTTTACTTTTTCTTTACAACCATCTGTTTGAAGGGAAGAATGTCTATTTCATAGTGGAATTTAGCCATTAGCATCAACCTAGTACTGTTTTGTTTTTTTTTTTTTTAAGTAGACCACTTACTGAAAAGCAGTCTTACTAATGGTCTTGATGAGAGTTTGGCAAATGTGGATTGTGGGTCAGATCTTGCTTGCCTCCTTTTTTCTAAATAAAGTTTTATTGGAACACAGCCAAACTCATTCCTTTAGCTACATTCTCTGGCTGTTTTTGTGCAGAGTTTAGTTGCAACAGAGACCATGTGATCCACAGAGTCTAAAAGTATTTACTATGTCACCCTTAATAGATAAGTTTGCCAGCTCCTGATCTAGATCTAGATTAGCTTCCTTTTTTTTTTTTTTTTTTTTTTAATTCAGCATGTTATCTGATGACTTTAAGTTGAGGCTCTATAAAAATCTACATATTGATTACATGTTGCAGGATCCATTAATGGCTTTTCATTGGGTGATGTTTTTGGTTTGGTTGGCTGGTTCAATTATATTTGGTTTTATGTATAAAAAAAATCAGGTGCTGTGTACAAAGCCATGGTTCCGCTTCTCCCTGACGAGTAGGTAATGGCAGTTAAACACTTGGACTCCTGCAAAATATGAGCTGTGGATTAAACATAGAAAGCTTTTCACAGAGAATGTCTTGTTATTAGGGATACAAACTAGGCGCTCTTTTCAGTGTTCGCAATTTATATCCCTCCTGCTTGTCCAGGTTTGGATCACCCTGTGGTATTAGCCCCTACATAGGGGCTCTTATTTTCTTCTGCCGATCTGTACAGGAAAGCCTATGGTTCAACCAGTAAAGCCCCTGTCCCCACTCTGCATATGAAAGGCCATTGCTGCTTCTTGTGAAGAGGAGCCAGAACTGCTCAGCATGAGTGATTTGGAGAATTTTCCTCTGTGATCCTAGATTTTGTATTTGAAGACTAATCATCCCCATAAAGGCTTGGAGGCAGAACTGGAGATATGAATAGGAGAGTAGACTTGCCTTGGGTTTCAGGGGAGCGTTCTCAAGTCCCTCGGCCAGCACATCCATTACCAGGCCACGTCCCCGCAGCTAATCCAAATGGCTAGTAGAATAATACGGAGTGGCGGAGAGTCAAAGCAAGATGGTAGATTCTGCCAGTTAGTGAGGTGTTCCCCAGTGCGTGAGATTAACTAGTTAGAAATCAATCAAGATAGCCAGAGAGACACCGTTTCTCACATTTCAGGCCCCTCTATGCATGCATGCACATCAAACATGTTTCATCTTCTGTGCAGAGGACTTGATGCAAAGCCTGTCTTATGGTTTAGATGCCCTCTGTTGCCAACCACTTCATGACTTAACTCTTCTGTCAACTCTCTTGCCCACCAGTGCAAGGAAGGTGGCTTCCCACAGGAACTCTGGTTGGGTGTCAGCGCGGACGCTGTCTCTGTCTACAAGCGTGGGGAGGGAAGACCCCTGGAAGTCTTCCAGTATGAACACATCCTCTCTTTTGGGGCACCCCTGGCAAATACGTACAAGATCGTGGTCGATGAGAGGGAGCTGCTCTTTGAAACCAGTGAGGTAAGAGGCAAAGCAGCTTCATCCTTTTCTTTGTGGTCTTGATGAAACAGAAAAACAGGACCCCATTTCCTCGTGTCTTTGACCAGGTCGTTTTCTTTGAATATTTTTCTTTAAAACATGAAAATACAGTGCGGTGGTCCCTTTCCAGCTGCCGGTCCCTTGCAGGCCAGTATCTGAGAACCCCATATTTCTTCTGTATACTTTTACAACAGAGGAATTTGGTTCCATTGTGTCAGGGAGTCTTACCCTTGGAGGAGAGGAGGAGAAAGGGAAGTGACACAGCTGTCCATGAAAAAGTATATCATTTGCAACAAAACCTTTGAAAATGAGTTACGATTACATGGCAGTATCACAGCTGTGAGACTCGGCTCTGGTGGCCTCTGCAGACCAGGAGGGAACCAGGAACATGACCATCCTGGATGCAGCTCATTTTTTTTTTTTTTTTTTTCCTTCCCTGAGACGGAGTTTCCCTCCTGTTGCCCAGGCTGCAGTGCAGTGGCACAGTCTCAGCTCACCACAACCTCTACCTCCCGGGTTCAAGCAATTCTCCTGCCTCAGCCTCCCTGGTAGCTAGGGATTAGGTGGGCATGGTGGCACATGCCTGTAATTTTGTATTTTTAGAAAAGATGGGTTTCTCCATGTTGGTCAGGCTGGTCTTAAACTCCGACCTCAGGTGATCTGCTCGCCTTGGTCTTCCAAAGTGCTAGGATTACAGGCATGAGCCACGGCGCCTGGCCCAGCTCATTCTTTATTGTGAAACCACACACACTAAAAGCCCTCTAAATATATGTGCTACCAGTTTCAAAGTTTAAAAAATACAATAAAACAAGAAGCTTTTGAGGCTTCCACAAAGGGAACAGCTAGCTAGCCAACGAGGTGAGTGGAGAGGAATCGCCTGCTGCCTGCTTTGGAATGGAGAGGCGCTGAGGAGGGTGTTCCAGGTGATTGGAGGATATGGCATCGTAGGTTCCCTAGGCTGATGGGGAGACGTGCAGTGAGAGGGAAGAGGGTGGGGAGCCCTTGACTCAAGGGTGCCAGGTGCCAGGCTGCAGGATTTGGCGAGATCCAGTAGACGACCAGGAACCACTGTGGGATCTTTGGTTGTGTATGGCGTAACAACAGTGAATTTCCAAACAGTGATCTCTGGGGTGGGACTGGAATGGAAGAGAGCAAGCAGGGAAATGGAAGCTAGTTACGATACCTTCACAGGGGTCCAGGCCAGCTGTGAGAAGGGCGTCAGTGACAGGGACATCATGGGAAGGAGCTAATGGAGATCCCAGCTGGAGGAGGAGGCTGGTCTGGAGCAGAAGTGGGCCTGGTGTCTGTCTGGGGAGCTGGCTGCCCTTCCAGCCCCAAGGGCCTCAGTTCTTTGTTTCTTCAGCTGCATTTTAAGGAGTTGACTAGAATGAGATGATCCCATCTTCAAAGGCTGTAATTGTAGACTCTGTCATTTCACATTTATTTTAAGTGGGGATAGTAATCTTAGCACTGTTGACACCGAGTCACTTCCTCCGGTAGTTCTGTGTTTTAATGTGCAAAATCTGACAATTCACATCAAGCCAAGTTGGCACGTTTGTGTGAAAGAACCACCAGGTGGTGTACGTTGTATTTGGAAAAGCTGAGATTCCACTTCTCCCTGATGAGGAAGGTGAAAGCAGTTAAGCTTCTGGCTTCCTGCAAAATGAGAGCCGTGGATTAGCACGGAAAGCTGTGGGAGGATGCCCAGAGAATGTCTGGTTATTAGACGGGGCCTTTGACCTGGGGGACACTCATGATCTTGTGTTGGTTCTGCTTCCCCCGGGCAGGTGGTGGATGTGGCCAAGCTCATGAAAGCCTACATCAGCATGATCGTGAAGAAGCGCTACAGCACCACGCGCTCCGCCAGCAGCCAGGGCAGCTCCAGGTGAAGGCGGCACGGAGCCCACCTGTCTTTGCTACCTGCATGCACTGCCGCATGCCCTCTGGCCTCAGCCGTCTCCAGTGTGCCATGCCCAGCTGAAACAGAGCTGCCCAGGCTTTCTGGAAGCTTCCTGTCGGAGGGAGGTGTCTCTGAGGGTCCTTTCGCCTTGCCGATTTCAATGATATCCTATATTAAGCTGTCAACTTTAACAGACTGCACAGTTTCCAAAGCTTTACTACTCTTAGAGAATACATGCCTTAAAAAAAAGGAGGGGAGGAACCACGCTGCCACCAAAGCAGCCGGAAGTGCCTTAACTTGTGGAACCAACACTAATTGACCCTAACTGTGCTACTGAAGGGAACTGCCTTCCCCCCCTTCTCCAGGAGACTGACAGAACGTGGAGGGTGGGGGGCGTTCCCTATCGATGATGCACTAACCTCCCAGCCTGATTTCCCTGAAATTGAGGGAAGGTGAGGGAGTGGGGAGGGGATAGAGGGCTCAAGGGGACAGTGGGTTTGAGCTGGAGTGCTGCGGGCAGCCTTTCTCATGGAATGACATGGATCAACTTTTTTGTTTCATCTTTTAACTGTACATGCTTGCCTGTTCATGCGTGTGTTCATAAATGCAACACTTTAATCATGGTTTCATGAGCATTAAAAAGCAAAGGGAAAAAGGATGTGCAATGGTATACACAGTCTGTATATTTTCATAGTGCAGAGCTATGGTCTCAATTGTTACTTTATAAGGTGATTTTATTAACAAACCGGAATCCTGGATTTTCCTGTCTTTGCTGTATTTTGAAAAACACGTGTTGCATCCATTTTGTTTTACCTGTAGCAAAGTGTGCTATCCGTGTCTGCTGTATTATAAACAGATATGCAGCCTACAAGATAACTGTATTTATAAACCACTCTTCCACCTCTGGCTTCCGTGCTGGTTTTAGAACAAGAATGAAGTCATTTTGGAGTCTTTCTTGTCTAAAAGATTTAAGTTAAAAACAAAATGTTACTTCTTATATCAGTCTGGAGAGATCACGATATAACCACGTTGACTCTGGGGGAGAGACGCCACATTCCTGAAAGGTCTTAAGAGTTGAGTGAGTCTTTAAAGGACCCTGATGTTAAATGCTGAGGCTTTAATAAAATATATGCATATTTTATCCCAAGTTTATAATGGTGGTCTGAACAAGGCACCTGTAAATAAATCAGCATTTATGACCAGAAGAAAAATAATCTGATCTTGGACTTTTATTTTTATATGGAGAAGTTTTAAAGACTTGGGCCAGCTAAGTCTACCCACAGAACAATTTGCCTTGTACCTACGTGTACAACTCTGCTAAACTGTTGGCTCAAAGAAGGTCTGACAATAAAAGATGTTAGCTAACACACTGTGTGTTTCCTTTATCAGAGGAGGATCTAAATACCATAGATGGGAGGCTTATTTTTGTTTTGGCTTTTTGGTAGGTGTTTTTTGTTGTTGTTGTTGGGTTTTTTTTGTTTTTTTTTTTTGAGACAGTCTCACTCTGTTGCCCACGCTGAAGCACAGTGGAGCGATCTTGTCTCACTGGAGCCTCAGCCTCCCAAGTAGCTGGAACTACAGGCATGCACCACCTCGCCTGTCTAGGGTTTGTATTTTGAGTAAGAGATGGGGTTTCACCATGTTGGCCAGGCTGGTCTTGAACTCCTGACCTCAGGCGATCCACCTGCTTCAGCCTCCCAAAGTACTGGGATTACAGGGGTGAGCTACTGTGCCCGGCCAACTTTCTGGTGTTAATGCTGTGCTTTCTGTGTCTGGGCTTTGTGTGTGTTTCATGGAATTGTTCACCAGATCAAACACATCTGCAGCTGTCTCCACTGCTCTTGTAGACACAGTGTGACTTCAAGAAAGCCAAGAAGGCAAAAGAAGGGAGTGGGAAATGAAGGCCCACACAGCTGAGACTTGAAATGGTTTCTGGCCAGGTGCAGTGGCTCACACCTGTAATCCCAGCACTTTGGGAGGCCACGGTAGGTGGATCATGAGGTCAGGAGTCCAGATCAACCTGACCAACAATGTGAAACCCCATCTCTACTAAAAATACAAAAATTAGCTGGGCGTGGTGGCGTGTACCTGTAATCCCAGCTACTGGGGAGGCTGAGGCAGGAGAATGACTTCATTGTGGAAGACAGTGTGGCGATTCCTCAAGGACCTAGAAATAGAAATTCCATTTGACCTAGCAATCCCATTACTGGCTATATATCTAAAGGATTATAAATCGTTCTATTATAAGGACACATGCACACGAATGTTCATTGCAGCATTGTTTACAATAGTAAAGACTTGGAACCAACCCAAATGCCCATCGATGATAGACTGGACAGGGAAAATGTGGCACATAAACACCATGGAATACTATGCAGCCATAAAAAACAATGAGTTCGTGTCCTTTGTAGGGACATGGATGAACCTGGAAACCATCATCCTCAGCAAACTGACACAAGAACAGAAAATCGAACACCGCATGTTCTCACTCATAGGCGAGTGTTCAACAATGAGAACACAGGGACACAGGGAGGGGAGCATCACACGTGGGGTCTGTTGTGGGGAACTAGGAGAGAAAAGCAGGGGATGGGGAGTTGGGGAGGGATAACATGGGGAGAAATGCCAGATATAGGTGATGGGGAGGAAGGCAGCAAACCACATTGCCATGTATGTACCTTTGCAACAATCTTGCATGTTCTTCACATGTACCCCAAAACCTAAAATGCAATAAAATATATATACACACACACACCCCAGGAGGTGGAGGTTGCAGTGAGCCGAGATCTCACCACTGCACTCCAGCCTGGGTGACAGAGTGAGCGAGACTCCATCTCAAAAAAAGAAAAGAAAAAAAGAAATGGTTTATGTCAGTTAGTCACCTATGTCAGCTCCCAAGTGTGCCTGATTTGAAACCCCGGATCCTAGAATCTGCCTGCACCTTCTGGATTCGAACACACAGGTAGGTGGTTTGGTTGCCAGTGAACCCAAACTACCAGGCCAGGCGTCTGGCATGAGCAAGCTCCACTTCTCTTGCAAGCCACTGTCTCCCACCTCTGCTCATGCCCACGAATAGCTTCTCATTCTGCTGGGAATGGGTTGGAACCTGAAGCCAGGTGCTGCCTGGAGCCTGTGCCCGCGCCCCCCCTCCCCCCACCAGGGAACAAAGGAAGGCCAGTAAAGACTCAGATGTGTGTTGTCTTTGTTGTTGAGGCCCAGAGAGAATTTGGCAGAAGTCGTCTTTCTACTGCTCACCTCTCAGGATTCCTTCTGTGACTTAATTTACTCTGCAAGGCTGTCCCTTGATCTCAATTATAGGTGGGGAAATAGGCAAGGAAGGCATGACTCACATAAGGGGGTTAGAGCAGCACCGCAGTTACAGATTTACATGTGAGCCTTTACGTGGCACAGTTGTGGTTTTGTCTTAGTCTTTTATTGAGAAATAATTACAGATTTGGAGAAAGTTGGACAGAGCGTACAGGGGGACCTGCGTGCCCTTCACTCAGTTTCCCCAGTGGTAACATCCCACATTACTGTACATGAGTATCACAGCTGGGTGAGCTTCCTGTAGGCACAGAGCCTATTCTGATTTTACTGGTTTTACGTGCACTGATTTGTGTGTGTGATGTCAGCAGCTTTGAACAAGGCCAGTGAAGTACAGTCTCCCTTGGTATCCAAGGGAGACTGGTTCCAGGACCCCCAGGATACAAAATACAGATGCTCAAGTCCCTGATACACAGTGGTGTAGTATTTGCATAGAACCTGCACGCATCTTTCCTTACACTTCAAATCATCTCTAGGTCATTGATACCTAACACAATGTACATGCTGCATAGTTGTTATACTGTGTTTTTTTGTGTGTGTTTTAAAAATTGTTTATTTGAGACAGGGTCTCACTCTGTCACCCAGGCTAGATTGCAGAGGCTCAGTCACAGCTCATTGCAGCCTCAGCCTCCTGGGCTCAAGCAGGCCTCTCACCTCAGCCTCCCAAAGTGCTAGGATGGCAGGTGTGAGCCACTGCGCCCCACCAAAAAAGCTTTTTTTTTCCCAAACATTTTCAATCCGTAGTTGGATTCAGACCATATGGACATTGAGGGCTGACTGTAGTTTTGAATGTCTCTGTTTATTACTGCGTCAGGCATCAGCATCAAATATTTTATCACTTCAGACACTAACAATCTAGTATTTTTTTAATTTTTAATTATTTTGAAAGTTAATACATATAGGTGATTTGTAAAAAAAAAAAAAAAATTCAAATACTAGAAGTAAAATGTTACTTTTTTACTTCTAGTAAAAAAGTAACAGCTGTAGCTCCAATTACCCATTTCCCTTTCCCAGAAACAGCTATTTTTACTGTTTCATTGAATATTGTCTCAAAAATAATTTAAGCTATCCAAGCATATACTCACACATACATATATATATCCCCATCCTTGTTTTAATATATAGAAGCATAAAGTCTTGTAGCTTGCTTTTTTCACAGCATAATATTCTATCTTTGAAGAATTTGAAAATACATATTCACCAAAAGCTTATTTTCCTGCATTAATACCTATAGAATTGCCTTATTTTTGTTGATTATATAGTACCTCAGATAGCTTTGTGGAAAAACAGAATAAGGCCATCTGTATTAGTCCATCTTCACACTGCTATAAGGACATACCCAAGACTGAGTAATCTATAAAGAAGAGGTTTAACGGACTCATAGTCTCACATGCCTGGGAAGGCCTCACAATCATGGTAGAAGGCAAAGGGGGAGCAAAGGTATGTCTCACATGGCAGCAGGGAAGACAGCATATGCAGGGGAACTGCCCTTCATAAAACCATTAGATCTTGTGAGACTTATTTATGATCAAGAGAACAGCATGGAAAAACCTGCCCCCATGATTCAATTACCTCTCATCACATCCCTCCAATGATAGGTGGGGATTATGGGAGCTACAATTCAAGAGGAGATTTGGGTGGGGACACAGCCAAACCATATTGCCATCTAAGTTCTCTATAAAAAATCGTTTAAGCCAGCCATGCTGGCTCACACCTGTAATCCCAGCATATTGGAAGCCTGAGGCAAGAGGATCACTTGAGCTCAGGAGTTCAAGACCAGCCTGGGCAACATGACAAGACCCTGTCTCTACAAAAACTTAAAAATTAGGTGTGGTATGCATCTGTAGTCCAAGCTGCTGGGGAGGCTGAGACAAAATCACTGAGCCCAGGAGGTCAAGGCTGCGGTGAGCCATGATGGTGCCACCACATTCTAGCATGGGTGGCAGAGCAAGACCCTGAATCTAAAACAATTAAAAAAAAATAGTTCAGAAATCTAAGAGGGCAATTTTTTTGATTACTAAGTTTTTTGTTCAGATGGCACACTAAATTGGGATCCAAAATCTGCTAAAGTTCTGTACTTGTGTTTACTGGGTATAAAAATAAGTGCTTTAAAGAATTTGAAAATCCCTATTGACCAAAAGCTTATACTGTCATGGGGACAAAACAAGTGCATTAAGCTAAATGTAACCAGTACATTTACAACTGTTTCATTCAGTTGATCACAGAAACATCACAATTGCTGGAAAATATCGAACCTGGATTCAAGGTTTGGCATTGCTCTTTTCAAACTATGTGATCTTTTAGGTCAGGGGTCAGTGAACTACAGTACAGAGACCACATCTACTCTGCTACCTATTTTTGTGAATAATGTTTTACTGGAATAGATCTGTGTGTATTTGTGCATGGTTTGTCTATGTATGCATTTGTACCACAACAGCAGAGATGAGTAATTGCAACAAAGGCCCCCCACAAAGCTGACAATATTTACTCTCTGGTTCTGCATAGAATGTTCTGATCCCTGTTGTAATTATGGAAGTATATTTTCTTTAGAAGGAAAGCTACAGTTAGAATTTTGATTCCATGTGTGATGCAAGGAATACAGTCCCCAGTTTTGAGATCGTTGCTTTAAATGTTTCTCACCCACTGTTTTGCATCCCTCCCTCCTTGCATTTCATCATTAGTGCAAACTGGCTCAGTGTTGCCTCTTTTTGTATTTAATCAGTCCGCAGATTAATAAAAACTTCTCTGGGACAGATTCTATCTTCCCTCCACATGCCCCAAGATATCTAGCATCGTGCCTGCTTGAAATGTTTTAGGGGCTCAGGTAGCCATAGATCACACCACTGACCTCTAAAACTTTTAAGTTATAGAGATCAGACAAATGCACATAAAATGTGAAATGAGCACACAAGATAGCACAGCAAGTCTTGTATCAGGAAGCAGCATTCCAGATGCCAAGGCAGGTAGATTGGTGTGACTGGGATGACTCGGGGGAGGAAGCAAGGTGGAGGGGTGTGGACCTGAAGCTGGTCTTGCAGTATGGCAG